AACAATTTGTAAGACTGTTAGTAAATTTCAACGCGAGTACTTCAACAGACAAGCCTTTTTACAGAAGTTCACGGAGAGGGATTTACTCGTCCCTTGCTCGAGATTAGTGGGAGAGAGAGTTGTTTCGCTTTCAGTACAGTTCCATAGAGCCTTTTTTCAGTATGAATTCTCTCATTGCTTTCCTTAATATGCATGCATATTAAATCGATACAAAGGGATTTCAAATCTGTTTTATCTCTATATCTCGCTTTCCTGTTGGCGAAAAACCTTTTTTTTAATTATCAAGCCGAAGTATCTAAACTTCTTAAAACCTCATTATAATTTTTTGTCCATGCCAGGACTCGAAACTGGGACCTGCAAGAGTACACTTGCATTTAATTCCGACACCTGACCACTAGACCAATGAGGCAGTTTAGCTTGATGACTTACCCATGACTTTTGTAAACACAATTCGTCCATCAAGAAATGGTGGAATCGTGTGATGTGCTAACTAAAGTGCTCAAGCAATTGTTTCCTTTCAAAATCTTCATTTAAACTATCTAATTGATGTCACTACGCCCGATTTTATCATTCTATTTTGTTCTGAAATTCAATTTTCTCATTAATTCCGGATTTTTTTTTGCTTTTTCTTTTTGTATTTTCGATGACATCTTTACGAGGCTCCTTAGCTTCAGCAGCTTTCTTGGCAGCGGCTATCAAAGTGAACGACACGCCCTTCACGAAGAATGTCGAGGCAGACCGCGCCTTCAGTTTCTGGAGTTTCTTCTAGCGCAACCGGAGAATCGGCTCGTTGCGCACAGCAATGACATCGTGTGATTCTAAAAGGAATAAGTATAGAAATGGAACGAATAAGAAAGGAAAATGAATATTACCTTGAGTCTGTGTACACATGGCCACCCTAGAGGCTGGCAACGTCCGAGCTGGAACAGTTTGAGATGTTGATGGAATGGGACGAGGCCAGGGACCGGAATAAAAGCCACGGGAGATGTGATTCCAGGAGGCCGAGGAACCAACCGAGCGTACTGGTTCCGAGTATTGCAATTGCAGCAATGCTGATTATCAAGAGTTTCCTGGATATTCCAGTGTTGCGCTTCGGCAATAAAAGCTAGATGGCGATTCCGCATACCTTTGTAAAATTTCTTGCAAAATTCATTAAGTTCCCGCTTGAGATGAATATGAATTTTTGGGGTCCTTTAAACTGACTTCTGTCTTCAAGCGCAACTGTTAGCATCCAATCTTTCGTAGTGAAGGTTTTTTTATTGCTTCTTTGGATAATGGAAATTGTCTCCTTCCAGGTAAGCTCAGTGCGGGGTTATCAACATAAATGCGGTGCTGACGTTTATGTCCAACGGTTGTTTCATTTGAGATTTGAATAATGTAGTTGAAAATTAAGGATTTTTATAAGGTCTATAAGCAAAGTAAACGCACTAATAATGATGAATAATAATAATTAATGCAATTTTTGAATAGATTTATAATATATGTACGCAAAATTGATAACTAAGTTTTTTACTGTTACTTACCACAAATATCAGTCATTCTAATATATAATTGTTTGTAGTTCAAAGGCAAAATCTTGAATGTACCATCACAATAGAGTGAACAAGTAGGTATGTGCAAGAAATTCACGAAATTGTTCAACATGGAAGATGGTGAATCACCATTGGTGATATATTGTTCGCCAACTTGGATCGATTTTCGGAAAAATTATTCTCCTTTGAATTTTTCACTAAATTCCCCCGGAAATCCCCTTGGGGAAATCTCCGGGGAAAATGTTGGAAAATCTTGTGTCTGGGATACAAACACACATTAACGTTGTAGCTTTACATCAATACTACTCTAAATGACGATGCAGCTTTACACTAACACTACCCGGAAATATGAAGCATGAGCCTATAAAAGAACCCGAAAATTCCCAGAATTTATTTTTTGAATATATGAATGAAATATTGCTGCTAAATTTTAAAATTTTCATATTTGAATTTTGAAGAGTTTTCTTAGAACTTCATAAATTTCACTTGGAAATCTCCTTAAGGATTTCCACAAGGAGGGAAAAATGAGAAAAAATTATAAATTTTTGTGCATTAAATTAGCGACATGTAAGTGACTTAACATCATGCTTGCACTCTTGAGGGACTTCAGGGCACAGTAGAGATTCTCATGGATTTGGCAGCAGCAAGCATTGTGGGGCATTTCTGTAAAGCAAACAACATTAGCCGACATCAAGTTGAAAATCGTGTTAACTCCATATTGATAACATGATAATCCTTAATAAACATTCAATGAACTTCTTTATCCGGCTTCCTTAAAAAAATCTCAAGGACTTCAGTACAATTTTTTTTCACTTCCTGGTTATCTGAATATTTGTTTGAAAAGTTAGTATCACGATCTTGTTGGAATCATAAAATATTCAGTTAAACTCTTTAAACTGATGTCGCTCGATGTGCTGGTATTTTTTTCTCCCCGTATCAGTTTAACAAGCTTTGACTGCATTTATTTACCAATGCTGGATCATATTTTAAAACACAATGAGTACACTCGTGAATTGTTTTCCGTATTTGATGGAAAACCTTTTTATTCAGAGAATTCATGAATCAGATGAGAACTCTATGACTATTTTTGCTACCAAACAACTCATTGAAGAAGTACAAGAAAATTGTACCATTTATGTTGACGCTACATTCAAAATCTTGCGTTTCAAGTACACACAATTATTAGCTGTTCTTGCATCGATCAACCAAAGGGTAAGCTCTTTACAAAAATTGACTTTCATGATACAGTCGAATTGCTATAAGATAACTCTTAAGATTCTTAGGAATCTTGGGAATCTTAAGAATCTTAGGAAGTTTAGGAATCTAATTTCATGAAGATTCCTAGGAGTCCTAGGAAAATTGCAAGAAATTCCACTGCAGGTTTAAGAAAAACCCCGGAAATATTTTTGTCGAAATTCGAACGAGTTTTAAATTTTTTAAATATTTATTTTTTTATAATTTTCAAAATTTTTTTGAATGCGGGAATGGCAGTCCTCAGTGACTGGCATTCCAGGAATGTCAGTCCGCAATACCATTCTTGGAATGTGACTACGGGAATGGCATACCTTTCTGCTACTCCTGGACTGGCAGAATGTGTCCAACACTGTTAACTGGATATAAAAGACGCATGAGAGTTAATTCTTTTTCAATTTGTGAACATTTTCAACACTGCAAAAATCATAGTAAAATCATTGAAATGTGACAAGAAATTATGTTTGGTTTGGAATCAATAAAATAAAAGAAATTCTCTGATTGTTTCATAGTTCACAGTGTGAAGTCGTCAGATTGGATCATCAGAAACCAAACCAACAAAAAGAATTGTTCATCATAAGTGGGCATTGTTATGAGACTTGAAAATGTTATTTTTTATATGTTTTATGCCATTGAATTCAACCCCTGTGATTAACAAATTCATTCGATGATGAAGAAAGGAAGAAACACGCACTCAAAAGTGCATCACATCACATCACAGATCCCTGCAGATTCCAACGACCGACCGGCCGTTTAAAGATCTCGAGAGACTGATAAGTTTGCCAGAACATATTCAACAGACCACCGGACTTATTCTTCTCTTTTTATTCATTTATGTTCTGTTCTGTGGTTAAAGAAGCATCGGCAGAAACATATGAAAAGTGAAAAGTGATAAGAGAACCACAAAATGTGAAGAAATTTCCAACTTTTGTGACTTTCAACTTGTGAATGTTTATCAGTTGAAAATCCTTTTATGTAAAACTTTCCACATGTGTTGTTGATTTCGTTTTGGTTTGTCACTGACATGATTCTCTCCGACTCTAAACGTTTTGGAATTTGCTTTTGTTTGTCTCATTATCATTAGTTGGTTGATCCTGAAAATCCTTTTTTGATGTTTTATGTTTCATCCCTTTCAAAGCCTTGACTTACTTGCCTTGTTTTGTGCAGTGATTTGATTTATCGCGTCAAGCATCGTGCTTGTCTCATCATCATTCAGACTCAGAACTGAACATCCGGAAACAAATGATTGGAACAGAATAACAACAGAGAAGAATGTGAAATGGAAAGGGGAAGTCAAACGATTCCGTAATTGCTGTTAATGTTCATTCAATTGATGAAGTGAAGTTCGAGCCGAGAAATTGCAGGGGATGATGATTGTTAAAAACGAGTGAAATATTTAGTGTTAAAATTTAATTTCATCGCGGGTCGTGAGAAGAGTTTGAAGGTCGCGGATCATCTTTGATGAGATTTCTTCCTTAAAATTCTTCCCGTAAGTAAAACTTCATGTCCGAATTGAATGCAAAAAGTGGAAAACATCTGCTTAATGTCAATGATGAGTGATGTGATGCGTTGTGCCTTTTTAATTCACTCAAATTGCATTATGATTTCATTGTTGGTGATATTAATCGATTGTTGTTTTGCTTGTTTATTGTTTGCTAACATCAAACCCTCTTCAGATCTTTTGTGTTGCTATTTTTTCGTTTTTGCATGTAATCATCGCACGATGCTGATGGAAATTCAATTACAAACGCAAGAGAAAACTTTTCACATCTTTGACTCACATAAGCAGATGAAACTCTCAGTTCATTCATAGAAAGGTGCAAAGAGTTCTGTTGAACAGTTAAAACCACAAAAGTCTCGTGATAATCCAATCGCATTTACACAGAAGTGAAGTTGAAGATTTAAATTCTTTCACACTTGAGGCCAATATTTGGTAAAAGTTCTAATCGTAGTCGTTCCACATGCTTAAGCACTGGCGATGATGATACCAGCACCATATGGTTTGACTTTTTTCAAATTTAAATAGCTCGTGCCTTCCATTCATTTAGGGTCGTCTTCTTAACTAGTCAAGGTAGCACTTTGGGCATTTAAAGTTCAGGTAAAATTTAAAAGAAGATCTTTCAAGATTTTCGTCTCCATTTGAACCATTTCGTTTGCTTAAACGTTTTGTCAATTGATAGTTCTTTGTTGTTGATTGAATAATGGACACAAATTGCATAACATTAATCTAGGCTCATAAATTTCATAATTTTGACAACTTTTTGTGTATGTAAATAATCAAGGGACAATTATTAATGCACAAATATAAAAGAGAATAAAAATACCGATAGGTGGTTACGGGTCACCGATTTCACTATTTATTTATGTTCATCACGAGTCCTAACAACATTTTTAGATAATCAAGAGTCCATCATGCATGCGTATCGAAATAAATTTTTATTGAATTAAAGGAAAATTAAGTGAAAAAGCAATTTGAATGAAGCATTCGTTTAATGAAGTTGCAATAAAAGTCTCACCATCATAAACTGAATATTCTTGCAAGAAAGCAAACACATTTCACCTATATACATACTTTCATTGATATTTCATGTCTGGTACGAGCAACAGCAACAGGTGAAGATTCCAACTGTAAATTAAATCGACACATTGCACGTATTCAGCGAAGATTTTGAACATCTTGAATTACTTATGCGTCGTCTTCAATGCTTCTCATTTCAAGCTTTAACAAAGTATATAGCGATGACTTAATTAAAATTGTTGTTTGTTTTTCGGAAGAAAATGACTAAAGCATGTAAACGAAAAGATGAAATAATTGACGAGAACTTAATTGCCCAATAACAATTTCATTCATGCAACTTGAGTTTGCACAATGATTCATTTAACAATCTCGTGAGATAATTTCGTTGATATTTATAATGACGATGATGATGACGTTGACGATTGGTACATTTTAACAAAGTTTAAACCATTTCTTCTATCTGTCGAATTTAATTTTAAATCTCGTCATTATTGACCGCATATGAAAGAAATCATCAAACATTATCGGATTAAAAAAAATCTGGTTAAAACTTTACAGTTTCTGCTTTTGTTATTCGCTTGCTTCTATTATTTTGCTGGTAGTGAGTGAAAGACGGGTTAAAAATCATATCAAATCAATAAATTATCGCAATGCAACACTCAACAAAAATGAAAACCCTCTCGAAACTGTAACAACTCCCAAAGAGGCTTTTCCATTGTTCCTTGTAAATAGTTCAATTTAATTGTTGTTGCTGTTGTCAACCCTCTTCGAAACTTCTAACAGCTTTTAAATTTTGAAAAATGAGAAATTCATGAAATGCCTTCTCTTCCCGACAATTGAGATCGTTCATCATACTTGTCATTTTATATTATTTTATTTTTTTTCGATTCACGATTTGTTTCTCTTCATGTTCATGAACAAAAACTTACTCGACTATTTATTTATTTATTTAAATATCTCATGATTTGCATAATAAATTTTTGTATGCTCGTGAGTTGATTAGCATAACAACAACAAGCGGATAATTGATGTTCAAGTAATAAATATTAAATCAGTGAAATTCATAGCATGATTGAGATCATTAACATCAAAGGGTGAGAATTGGCAAAGAAGTAAATGTGCAATTTACGTTTATAGAATTATTGATTTTCGGATATGTGAAACGTTAAAGAAACTCATCCTGAAATTTGAAAACTCTTCACAATTTGTTTAAAGCAAACTTTTTTATTTAATCTTTAGTGTGAATATTAAACATTTAATGTCACATTAATTGTTGAAAAGAATTTTTGAATTTTTTGAGAAGTGAAAAGGAAAGAAAAAGATTAACCAGCAGCAGCACTTACAAGTTGTAGTCGAGTTCATAACGAACGTATTGATTTTTCGGATCATTTTCAATTCTCGGATAGCCAGCAATGAGTGAATCTTGTGATCCGATGTAAAGTGAATTGTAAATCTTCCAATAAACGTCTCTGACTTTACGAGCAGGGTGGAAAAGTCCTTGAAGTGTATATTGAAGGATTTTTATTGGACCAAGAGCGACACGCAAACCTTCAACAGCGTCCATAAACGCTTGAACTAAATGTGGCGATGTCTCAAAGATATTCGGCCAAACATAATTCAACAAATGAATGAGAGCATCTTCACATCCGAAACCATAAACTCCAAGTGCCATGTGCTTGATAGCTGCACAAGCTGTTTGTCTATGAACCAAATCACGATCCATCAAAGCATCTTCCAGTAATGGAACAACTGCGTAAATGTAATCTTTCCCCATTTCGCCGATATATTCAAACAGGAATGAAAGTGACTTTAAAACTCCATTTTGAACGTTTAATTCGGGCACACGATATTCATTCATCAAAGCTGGCAACACTGTAAATGGTCGACAAGTTTCAGCAACAATAGCAATAGCGACAGTTGTACAAACACGATTTTGACGTTCTTGAACCTTCAAGTTGTTGAGAAGTGTCGCTAGAACATCATGAGGTCCAATAGCTTTGGCAATGTAACCGAATGTGTTGACAGTTGCACGACGAATTGCTTTCTTATGTGCTTTCAACAACTCAAGTAACTCAAAGCAGATTCTCATCCATTCACGTGCTGAAACATATTCCGGACCGCGATCAGCTATTCTTCCAACCAAATCAATGCAATTCTCTTGAACTTTCTCATGACGATTCTTCAAAATCGGTGTTAAACGTGGCAATAGATCTTTAATTGGTGGCGTCATTTTCGTCATTCCAATGACATTAACAATTGCTTTCAATGCACCAAGAATTGAGCCGAGGACTTCGGGATATTCTTCACCAAGATACTCATAAAGTACCACACCAAGATGTCCCATTAACTTTTCTTCCTGACATGTTTTCATAACAACTGCAATACGTGAGATTAAATCAGCTGCTTGTTGACGAACTTTTGCTGATTTGTTGTTTAAACGCCATAAAATTGTACCACAAATTTGAGGCAAATAAGGTTTAACTCGTTTGCTTAATTGATTAACAATTGTACCGAATCCATTTAACATGACAACATCTTCCGTTGCTTGTTCTTGAAATGCATACAAAATACCATCAATTAACTGTTCTTCAAGACGTGAATCAATGTCAGCGGCACCCAAATTTCCCATAATTTTCTCAACTGTTTCCATGACCATTTTACGATATTGTTCATTTTCATCTTTCAAATCATCAACAACACGATTGATGATTTCCGACGATCCAACTTTGTTTGCTATTTCGACTGTCGTATCAACCAGTTGACGATAATTTCTGCGATCCAATGCCATACGATGATTCCAGAAATGTTTAAAGAAATGCGGCAAAATTTCTTCCTTAATATATTGAGGCTCAACGCCATCTGTTGCGCAGCACTGTTTCACAACTTTCAATACAATTTTCTTCATTTCCTCATCGGGAGATTGAAACTCACGAATGAGAATCAGCATGACTTCACGTGTGTAGTAACTGGCATATTCAGCGTCCATTAATGGAATTAAATATCCAATAGCCTTCAAGAAAGCAGCTAAGCCTTTACCACGATGTGTTCGAATACCTTTCCACAATGGTTTCAAAACTGAATCAAATGATTCGATGCCATATGGTGTTGCAGCTTCAGCTAGTGCTGCTAATGCAAGAGCAGTAATTGTACGAACTTTCTGTTGTTCATCAACAAGCCCATGTTCAATGATCTCAACAAGTGACTTTAAATGCGGTAAAATTGCACATCCCATGAGAATTGCAATTTGTTGAACAATTTTAATGCCCGTATGACGTGCCTGCCATGATTTCTTACTCTTGCAAACAGCTTTCAAGAAAGGTAAAAGTGATGGAATGCCAAGAGCTGAGCCAACAACAGCAAAAGCTCTTGCTGTTGTATTTCTCACATATTCATCAATGTTGTCAATATCAGGACGCATTGTCGAGATCATCGTTGCTAAGCCAGCTGCTTTTGCTAAATTTGAGATGATCTCACGACCTTCAACACGAGCATAATAATCTTCATCAATCAACAATGGCTCAATGACGACAAGAATCTTATGAACGAATGGTCGCACTAAATCGTCAAGCTTATAAAGGATTCTGTCAATGACTTTCACCAACAAATGACGTTCTTGATCTTCCAATGTCGGTGACATAAGCAATGGAAGTATTTGATTGAACAATGGACCAGCTCCAAATTCTCTTGCTTTATCAGTGATTTGACGAAGTGCTGCCTTTCTCATTGGTGGCGTTCCATTCTTTATTTTGAGCAACAGTTTCATAATTTTCCTTTCTCTTTGTTCTTCTGGTGATAAAGCTTCTTCATCAACATCCACCAAAAGCTTATCAAAATATTGTGCATCTTCTGGTTTCATGAAAGGTAAATTACCTTTTGGTTGATTGTCAATAAATTTTGCTGTTGTTTTGTCTTCTTGTTGAATGAAGAATCCAACAGGCGTACCAGCAATTGGTGTTGGTGTTGCTGTCAATTTACGAGCTGGTGTTCGTATTGGAATGTAACCAGCTGGTGGTGGAAGAACTTTATATCCAGGTGGAAACAAAGCTTCCAATTCTTCATCGGAAAATGGTCGATTTCTTTCATCAATTTCCTTCTCCCAACGATAAGCTTGAAGTTGTTCAGGAGTCATTGAAGCTAAATGTCCTGGAGTTGGTGTTGCCATTGCCATTGCTTTAGCTCCAATTGGAGTCGAACCTCCAGGTGTTAAAAGTGGTGTAGCATGTCCAGGTGTCGATAAAGCATGTGGTGTAGTCATGCTCGGTGTCATTGAAGCACCTGAAGGTGTCATTGAAGGTGTTGCAGCTGATGGTGTCTCATCCCAACGTGAACGACGCTTCGAAGCGCCGGGTGTTGAATCAATGATTGATTCACCAGTTGCACGATCAGCACGAGGTGTTTCCATCCATCCAGAATTATGTCCAGGAGTTTCACGTTCTGTCTTTGGTGTTTCATCCCAACGATTACGTCTTGTTGACTTCTCCTGTGCTGATGAATCATGTGCTGGTGTTGTTGCATGATGAGCTGGAGTTGCATCCCAAATTCTTGCGCTTGGAGTTGCTCCAGGAGTTTCACTGCCTTTATGACCTGGTGTTTCATCCCAACGATGGTCAGCTGGAGTTTTCTGTGAAATAAAAGAGAATTATGAAATTTGGGAAGATTTAACTTTAATTTTAAATTCACATCTGAATCCCAAGTCGGTGTTAAAGCCCCAGATGCTGATTTCTTAGCTGGCACAAACTGTTCATCAATTGTCTGATCCCAACGTCCTCGTTTCTTTGCTTCCCCTCGTGCTGCTTCACCATTTGATGAAGAAACCTTCAATGTTCCATCTTTTGCTTTTTCTTGAATTTTTTTGCGTAGTTCTGCTTCTTCGCCTCGCAGTTGCTGTTCACGCATGATCTCTGTGTAGGTTCGTGATTTGACATCGGGAGTTTTGCCGCCTGGAATAATATGAATGAGAAAACAAATTAATATCAAGTTGTGTAAAGTTTCTAAATTAATTTTTTTAATTCAAAAATTTGCATCAACAATTTAAACTTGGAATTGGGAGATGAGAAGATAAAAACCAAATTTTATATTCCAAATCTAATTATTGCTGCTTAAAATCTACAAAGAGGAAGATAGTTCGGAAATTTGCTCAACGATGTTTAAGAAAAAAAATGAAAACGAGAGCAAATTTCAATCATCTTCCACATATACGTACGTGCTGGGGCTTTGTGGCGATTTTCGATTCTAAAGTACCATTTCAAAATGCTTTCTTTATATTCTTTTCTTTTCTTAAACTTTCATCGGCATTTTCAAACGTTCTTTAAGAATCGTTCAATTCGTAATGATCTTCATCAAATCCACTTTTTAATGGCCTAAAATAAATTCTTTTCGATTAATATTGGTTGTTTAAACTGACAAACATTCATCAACACACATTCTCACGATGTGATGTGGAATGAAAGATGCTTGATTCTCATCTCATTCATTTCACATCATCAACTAACAAATATGTTGCTTTACTCCACTTGTGGGCCCACAAGAAGCACAAGACGCGCACCAGCACATCAAGTCAAATACTTTCCAACCCCAATTTTATTAACTTGATGTCCAGCTACCTGTGGTAATGGTTTGGATTGGAATTAATTATGGTTCAACAATGATTTTCTTCTTATAAACTATTTACACTATTTACTAACAATCAATCAACTGAATTCAATCATTCATACGAACAAACTTAAAGGAATATCACGATGTAAACCTAAGAATCCTTATAAACTATTTTAAGAATAAAAATTAATGAAACGAAACTTACCATCAGCAAAAGGATCAACACGAGCTGGTGACAAAACTTGCTTTCTTCTCTTTTGTCGATATTCGTCTTCTTTTTCTCCAACTGTCTTTGGTCGTCGACTTTCAAAAGGATCGTAGTCTGGTTCACTCTGCATATTATAGAATATCAATAGTTTATACAATATTTAAATGGAAATTAATTAAATCTTACTCTTGCAATGTCATTAATGAACGCCATTGGGGCGCCAAAGCCCATGGTTCTTTTATCTGAAGCTCTAACAGGCTCTTCGTCATCTTCGTCTTCATCTTCATTCGGCGCAATTGAAGTTACATAGCCTTCATATTTGCCTTTTTGTGTTCCATTTCCATCGTACAAATCAGAATCGAAATAGCCGCTTTCAAGCAAACCAATTCCCTTGTCACGATCCTCCTCGACTTGAGTCTGTTTCTTTCTTTCTTGAATTTCTTTTATTTGTGCTTCAATGTCTGCAATGTACATATTAAAGAAAATAGAATAAGATTATTATTGAAAATATATTTAATACGTAGACTTTGATTTTTAAATGTCAGACTAAACGTTTACAATATTCTCAAAAAACTTTTTAAATTGAAATTTTTAGCTCCTTATATCATGTTACACTTATAAGGAATCAACAATTTAACACTTTTCATATATTTTGATCAATTGAAAGAGACTGTTTGCAATATTATTTTGTGAAATTCTATATTGAAAATATTACCTTCCATGACTCGCAATCAATTTTAATGTCGTCATATGAATAAACTGCACATTTTATGAGAAACAGTACTCATGAAATATGAACAGACTTTTCAGAGGAAGAGTATCACAAAAATTGTTGAAGGGGGTATAAATATTTGAATTTGAAAAAACCGTTAATTTGTATGTAAAAATATTTGTTGACTTACATTGTGACACTAATTAGTGTTTTATTTTTTGTTAATACTAATTAAATACCTATCAAAACAAAGAAAATATTTAAGAAGCTATGGGCGAATGCGAGGAAGATCAAGAATTGAGGGAAAGGCTTAAAATAGGTCCTCAGGCAAATGTTGATTATCCAATTAATGTTTTGTATTGCGGAAATTGTAAAATGCCTATTGAGGTTAGTAATTAATGGTTACCAAACAAACTACCTAATTTTAAATATCTAATTCTTATTTTTTCTGCTTTTCTGTTTTTTAAACCAGTACTGTGAGTTCTGGCCAGGCTATGAGAAATGTAAACAATGGCTTGAGAAATTTTATCCTGAAGAGTTCTCAAAGCTGACTTTAAGAGAAAATGCAGCAATGGAAGCAGAAAGATCAGCTGAAAGTTCAAGAGAAAAGAGTGAATCACCAGATAAAAAAGACAAAAGGCGTCAAAGGAGAGGTGGAAAAGGACAAAAGAAGGAAGATTCGTTTAAAGAAAAAAGAATTTCTGTGATGATAGCACCACGAAGCAGAAGGAAAGTTGAGACGGTTATCTCAGGCCTTGAAGACTTCGGTAACTTTTTATATGCTTATTCGTTCACATTCAATTTATTTCTCTAAAAACAGGTATTGATCTCAAAGTAGCAGTCAAAGTCTTTGGGACAAAATATGCTTGTGGTTCATCGATAACTGACGAAAATGAGATTTCTATTCAAGGAAATGTCAAAGCTGATGTTATAGAATTTATTGCACATAAATGGCCGGAATTGAAAGATGTTATTGATGATAATGGCGATTATAGGAATACTTTTAACATTTGATTATATTACATTTACATGCTATCTCTAACTTCTGTTCAACTGAAATTAAGCATCAATTTTTATGTACAAGTTTTATAAACATTCTAAAAAGTTATTGATTGAGATGTTTAGAGAAAAATTCGTTTCTGACCTAGAACAATGATGTTTTTATTCCGAACGGAACGCAGAAGAAGTCAAAGATCGTCAGCGTCATATGGATTCAGCGTCTTAACTGATTGAATTCATTCCGAATGGAATGTCTGGTGCAGTCGTCTCAACGAAGGCCAAAGAAGTTCAATCGGAGAGAATGGTAGAATTTCATAAAATTCATTGTCACCGACACACCATCTGATAAAATTTAAGTCAATTGACGTTGACATTCATAAATGATGATGAGAAGAGAATCTTTCAATTTATAACTTAATGCAACTGAAATCATGTTGTCGCAGGTCCAACATAAAAGCAACAAAATTCTTAATGAAAATTACTGTAAAATGGAAAGTTTCTTGTACTTAAATATTAAGCAGCAATGATTTTAAAAAGTTTCCCCCAACTATTGACCCAATTAATTGACACACAGCACGCTCAGCAAAAATGTTTCTGTCGAATTGAGATTTTTATTTTCTATTTCAACTTCAATGCGGGTCAAACGGAATCATCATCAATAATGCTTCAAACCGTGTGAAACTTCTCCTTTTTTACTCTTACCAGCTTTACCAACAATCATAATTCTATCAAAAGTCGATATGAAATTTTTTTGTTTGGGGTTGAAGTTTTTGTTTCACACGATAATGTTGCGTGTTGAAGCCGCATTAGGATGATCTTCAACGAATGAATGAGTGGGATGGTAAGAAGTCTAATCTAAATGGATAAAGGTAAAAGGTATTTATGATTTCTTTTTCTCAATGGTAGCACGTGTCAATAAAATACAAATTGAACTTTTATCTTTTCAAAAAAACAATAAAAATTTAGGTAGGTAATTAAATAGATAATTTAGAATTTAAAAATCTTAAAATTTCTCATTGATATCAAAATCTTCATCCATATTTTAATAAAAGAAAAAGGGAATTTAATCCTTTTAGAAAAGCCATGTTGATTGGAGGTCTAAGCGATCAAAATATTCTTTTATTTTTTAAAAATATTCATTGATTGTAGTTGAAAACTTGAAATTAAACAAGAAAAGAAAATTCGAGGATTAAAGTGAAATGAAATTTGAAGCCAAACGAATTTTTCTTGGAATGTAATCATTAACGAAAAAATCGATGGAAAATCCGTAAATATTTTCAATTTCTGCTTTCAGTTTTCGTGATTTAAAGCAACCTAATTCACGTTGCATTAAACAGTTGATGTAAGGACGTTGAAGTAACTCGTCGACTTTCTTCAAATCCGCTTCGCTGAGACAACATTTAACGATATCCTGTCCCTCGATATCACTTGGATGTATGCTGGGAATTAAATTTTGAAAATGTAAACCAGGAAAATAGAATAAATTTCATAATTTCTCACCCAATCCATTCGATACTTGGCACAGCTAATTGTTCTGAATTTCTTACTTTCATCATCGATCCAAATTTATAAGTGCACATAATTTCAAAGCCATGTGGATCAGCATCAACGATAATATACATCGGAAGCTTCAATATCGAAGACATTTTCTTGAGAAATATTCTCGTGTTAACATCGGGATAGCCTTTTGCTGTGATTAATATAATTCGATCTTCAATTCTTTGAAAAATATTATCACTGATCAATCTTTGAAACACCGTGTCCTTCTCAACAATTAAAACATAATTAGCGTTTGTTTCAAAATTCTTAATTGCTGAGGGATTTTGTGGAATCATTTGAGTTGTTGTTGAACAATCGAAAGTTTCATTTTCAATGATAACTTTTAAATCCCCCGCTACTAATCCTTTACTAGATGAGAAAATTCCCAACTCAAATTCTTGGACATTCAGCATTGAACAAATTGTATCGAGAGCTTTATTGACGTTTACTTGTGATTTAAATAACTCGACGTCACGATAATAAAGTTCGCGTTTCGTACATGTAAGATTTCTTTGTAACATCTTGTAAATTTCACATAACACGACAGTCACGATTGTGAATGTTTTTTCACTTAATTTATTTCCGAAACTTATCGACTTCATCTCAATGTTTGTCTCTTTTGGTGATAGGACATCATTTGACATGGTACAATCATGCCAACTCTTAATCTTCCTTACTTTCAATACAATTGGCTTTTGTTGTGTCATTGCTTCGAGAAGCTGCAAATTTATTTCTTCAATTTGGTTTAGAATTCCTGCTTTTCTTGCTTCGGTTATTCTGTGAAAGGAAAAAATCACTGAAATTAATAAAACGTTCATTTCAGATCGACTTTGAAACTTACATTGGATTTTTTTGTGAAAATTCTTCTTGATCCAATTTTGTTTTAATTTCATCCAAATCTGGAATTGGAGAGTTTTGACTTTCATTTGTAAATCCTTCAATTGCATTTTGTGTTTCAGATGATTTATTTCTTGGAACTTCTTCTTGAATGTCAATATTTGATAACATAATCATTGAGTTATTTAATAAGAGATTATAATCAGAAACGTTTTCTCCAGCAGTTCTTTCAAAAGATTCTAAAAAGCTGTCAACTTTGCTATCGACTTTTGGCGATGATGAAATTTTCGAGGTCAAAGCGTTGAATGAATTATTTGGGGTTGATGAAATAAAACTTGGAGATTGAAAAGATTTTTTAATCTCCTTCAATGATTCTTGTATGTTGTCGCAGTCTTCATATTCAATTTCCTGATCAACACGTCCAACACTTACATGTTTTTGAAAATTCAAATGTGAGTGAAGGTAGTCAAAGTTTGGTTCCATTAATTCAATCATATTTGAAGCGACAGCATTCCAATCACTGATCTTCAGAACTTTATAAAAATTTTCAATCAAACATTGATTTGTTTTAAGGATGTAGCGAGTTTTATAAGCTGTGCTAACATTTAACTTCTCTCTTTGCATTAAAGTCGTTTCTAAATTTCCATTACGGCACTTCTTTGGTAAAAATGATTCATCTAATGTAAGTTCCGATGGAGCTTTATTCGTTTCTTTATTTATGATTCGGAAGAAACCTGATAATGATTCGGTTTCTCTTGCTGATGGAATCGAACCATCGCCAAACAAAACTTCAGTTGCTAATGAAGGATGAGACTTATTACGATGCACGTTTTCATCTTTCTTGGAGTCAAATAAATTAAAGAAACTGCTTGGAAAGTGTTCATTACTCGTTCCTGAAGACTTTATTGAATCTTCGACGTGATGAATTTTTTTCTTTGGCGGTGGGCTTTTAAAGAAGTCATTCGAAAATGCAGACTCTTGCAAGCTCAATATCGGGCTTATAAGTGAAGGTGGTTGAAAAACATCAAAATTGATGTTAGAGAAGGATGACAAATTGTATGAAGAGGTTTTGGGTGATGCTTCTGATGAACTATTAAATGAATTGTCGGTGTTAACATTGAAACAAAGACCTTCTTCATTCATTATTGAATCCTCGTGAGATCGTTTCGAATTCGTTCTTTTGTTTTTATGCAGATTTTCTTGTCCTTCTTCTTCTTTATGTCGTTGTTGTGGATCAAAAGGTGATTTAATTACAAACGTCTTGTTCAAAGGTTCAATAATTTTGGGTTCATCGAAATCATTTGAATTCGCCTCATTAATGTCTTGAGGATCGGGCTGCTTTAAATATCTCAGATATCGTAAGGACGATGACGAAATGTCTCTTGGTAACTTACTCATTTTTCGTCATGTTAAACTGGAAGAAAAATAACAAAAAAATGTCGTTGAATTTTCATTAAATATCGCACGTGTGCAAAATGTCAATTTGCGGTTTAAATAAATTCATTTGAGTGTAATAAAAATAATTTACAAGGCGCGTTATCTGTTATGTCGCGTATTAATTTCAAAACATCTGAGTAACATTCAAATTACTATTCATTGGATCATGATGGTTGGCGTCGGACACATGCTCAACTGTAAGAATAATTTTCACCTGAACTTTACTTTTACGGCTGCTAACGTTGTCGCGCGAGTTTATCATCAAAAGTAAATAAATAAGCCCGCATCCCTTGGAAGAGTAACAGCAATTATTTCCATAAAAACGAGAAATTTTTTCCTCTGCTCAACGAACCGAAATATCGAGAAAAAGATGAATGGAAATGTAAGAAATTTTATTCACAATTTTGAAGTGTTTTTCCTTTTTGAAACATCAAAACTTTGCCTACATACATAAATAATGTTGAATTAAAAGCCAATTGATGCTATTTAAAACCTAAACTGTCAATTGCAACAATCAGATCAGCACAATTGATAAATAATTTAATAAATTTCCATTACATCCTGTTTAGCGCAACAGTTTCACAAAAATAGTTTATTATTTCCATTGTAAAATGATTAAAAGCAATTAAAGAGACTCTTTTATTCAATTCATACACATGAGAGGATTTAATTATAATGATAATTTGTGAAATAATGAAAAAAGGTCTCAACCCGTATGTGCAACAATTTGATTCAACGCGATTTTAAAAAAATGAAAAAGAGCAATTCGTGAACATTCTATCGTTCAATAGAGAAACTTAAAGCCTTTTAAAGAAATAATGAAGTGGTTGAAATTGAAAGAAGAAGGAAAAAGAAGTTCGTTTTCTCTACGAGGAGGGTCTTAGGCATCATCTTTACCCATTTGATGCTTGCACGTGTTTTCCTTCAATTGTTGATTAATAAATTTCAATAAAAAACTTTTCTTGTTTTTCAAATGAAAAGAACTGCATTAGTTTAACAATGGAATAAGAATTTAATGACCTTCAAGAGAGAGTGGAAAATATTTTAAGGCTTAGTAAATAAGTGGTACAAAGGACCCACATCTCTATTAATTAAAATAATTTAAGGGTTCGTCTGACACTCAATTGAGAACATTATAAGTTCACAAAGAATACAAATTAAAGTTCACAGAAAGAAAGAAAAGAAACGATTGTGTTAAGGAAGCAACAAAGCATGAATTGAACTCTTGCGCAACAATACAGAAACAAATTATCCGACCAATGAGAAGCGTTTTATACTTCAATGCTTTGCTATTGTGGGTGGAGTTATCTAGCATAGGCAGCATACTTGCATACATTTACTTCTTTACCAATTTTAAAACAATAAATTCGTATTCGATTTAGACGATAATTCCTCGACCAGCAGTACCATCATCACCGTTGTGCGATTAACAAGTTTTCTCGTGTGCTCGTACCCATGAAGGTGCAAGAAGAGGGTGGAAAAAAATAGCAGGAAGATAAAAATTGTCTGGAAATTTAATTGTACTTAACTAAAAAAAAATAATTAAGTAAAAGATAAGGAAGAGATCTCGTAAAAACTTTTGTAAAAGAAAATTCGCTGATCTCCTGAATCGTAAATGTTTAGTGAAATAAAATAAAACTTTGATGTTTGTGTAAAAAGTGTTGAATATTAATTATTATGCATAGAGGAATAAGCACCAGCCGTTAACCAATTTGGATAAATTTCTTAAAACTTGATAATGGTGATAGAGTGAGTATTCAAGAAGCGATTAAGACAATTAAAGTTTCCATCCAGATTATTTTGTTTAACCTTCTGGATACTCAGCATGAAATTAAGATATCATATAAATACCTGATAATCAGAATGAAAATATCTCGCCGTTCGTCCCGAATCAAATCTTGTTCCGCGACAACGAAAGGGTCACAAAAATAAAATCTTTGTTTATTAACTGTTTTTGGGTTTTATTGTGTTTATCTCTTTTTCATTGCATCACCGCATGCAACAACATAATATGTAAACACAAGACAAGGTTTAAATTATGATAATAATGTAACGAAAGTTATTGGCATTTTATTGTTATGATACTTCGCGTGACATATGGTCAAATGTGTTTGTTTTTGTGTGGTCTTTCGTGAAAGAATGAACATCAGACAGACAAAAGAATATCACGAAAAATGATTCTCAATAAATTGTGTTTCGACGATCGTATCATCGACAATGAAATGATTTTTAAGATTGTTACGGTGAAAAATTTTTCCATCGTTCTGTTGAATGTTGAAATTAAAATATTCTCCACTAACAAGTAGAATAGACTTGAAATTAACTAATTCCGAAAATATTTCATTATCATTAATAAAATAAATTGTATTCAGATTTCACCGCAACAAAAAAAATCAGATCAAGTTGAAATACTTTCATCAACAAGATATTTAATATTTGATGAACGAAACATGACAGCGCCTTCGTGATGATTCAAATCTCAGACTACATATTAATTGTTTTAACAGCAAAAAATCATTAATCATGTGAATTACTTGAAATAGAAGATGAGATATTCGTTAGAGTTGGTTAAAAAGGTGCGCGTGGAATCAAAGGAAATTTCAGACATGCCGGCGCCAAAGTCGTGTTCCCAACTCTCGACACTCTTGTTAATTCCATGTCGCGCTCTTAATACAAAAAAAAAAGGTGATCACCAGTGAGTGGAGAAGAGAATGAAAAGAAAAATTGATTTGTTTTAATTGAAGCCAATCAACAAATCGCTTTACTCTTGTGTAGATGAATGTGGACCATAATGATTTATTACACTTCACTGTAATGTGATTCAAAGGCGATCAAGTTACAAAAAGAATCAATATTCCAAATTCTTCTTTTTCTTCAACTTAAATAATTAAGCATTTCGTTTGCCGGCCACATTTTTAAAGGCCAGACATTCCTTGAAGTCACTTCTTGACGTGAACAACATGTTAAGCGCTGAGCTTTAGATGCATGGGAATAAAATTAGTTCACGGTTGGATGTGTCTGACATGCTAGTGATGGAGCTTTAACATCTTAATTACTATGAAATGTTCTCTTAATTTTACAGTCACAATCATCGCTTCTCATCCAAATTATTATTAATGAAGTCATCGATGTTACCGGCGAATTTTCATATTCAAAAATCTCACACGCCTGATTGGGATATTAATGACACGAATGTGCCAGCAATAAATGAAGCTGAATTGAACGAATTTCAAGAATGGGCTGATGGACATTGTCGTTATGTATACAATCCAAATAATGAAGATGCTAAGAAACATATTTCAGGATGGGCGATGAGAAACACGAATAATCATAACGTGAACATCTTAAAGAAAAGTTGTCTGGGAGTTTTGGTTTGTTCTGTTGGTTGTACATTGCCAAATGGAACAAAAATTAATTTACGACCGGCGATTTGTGACAAAGCAAGACGAAAACAAACTGGAAAGCCTTGTCCAAATCGTAACTGTTCTGGAGGACAACTTGAAGTTTTATCATGCCGTGGTCATTGCGGATATCCTGTCACTCACTTTTGGAGGCACACAAAGTATGGAATATTTTTTCAAGCCAAAGGCATTCACGATCATCCACGACCGGAACCTAAATCTTCAGAATCAAGACGAAGCTTAGGAATTGGGAGACGATCTAAAGGCTTAGCTGTTTTACTTGCAAGAGACGCAGCTGTTGGAAATAAGGTAAAAACAAACACAATTACTAACCTTGAAATTGTTTACTTAACAAATTGATTTGTTATATTTAACAGTTAATATCACTTGCTAATGGCAACAAACGCGAAAAACACTCAGGATTCAAGAATTGTGAAATTCTTCCACCACCACTTATTAAAGGTAAATAATGTTTATGTCATACACAATGAAATCTTTTTAGAACAGTTCTAAAATTACGAAGTTTTAGTACACGAATATAAAATAGAATTGAACTTCACCGTTTAAATATTGAACTTTCGTTACAGATTCTAACAGTAATTCTTGTCCAATCTCAGAAACTCCACATTTCTATAATTATCCAAATGATAACATTTACTGCATGAGTATGAATGCACAGCAAAACAACCAGTTTATGAGTTATCAAAATTATCATCATGATCAGTTGATGCATCAACAAATGTTCGATGAGAGTTCTCATGTTCAGAATTATAGTTTTGTTCCCTATCCAAATAATGAGACATTTCCAACTGCAACAATGCCAATAAACGAACAAGTTCATCATCAAGAGAATTTTCAAACGATTCAATCAAATGATCTATACGAATTTCTTCCTGAAGAAATATTCCAACTTGATCAACCTATAGTCAAAAGCGAAAGTCAGACATTTGGTGTCAATGGAGTCATCACCAGCGCTCCCAGTTTAGAAACGTCACAAATGCCATTTGTCAACCTAAGCAACGATTTATCAAGCACAAGTCATAGCTTTTTGGATCTAAGTTCTGGTCAAATACAAACCAATAACAAATATCCTATAGAAGGCTTCACTTTATCTGAAATTAACAACAATTCCAACTATCAATCAAATATTAGTGTCAATGATACACAAATACAATGCAAAGTTAATGAAGTTGCAGTTTATAATTATCAAGCTCCTCCTGAGACTTCTTTTCGACCCAATTGTGCAGTTGAAAACGAAAAAGTTCTCAAACGAAAACATAATGATCTCGAACATGTTGCGAAGAAGCAACATTCGCTGCCGTTTCACCCAAATTCCAATCAACAATTTTTTCCAAAACGTGAAAGTTCTTCATTATTTCAACAAAATACAAATTATTATTCTGCCGATCTCTATACAGCAAACTTTCCATCAAAACCAGATGTCTATCGAAACATGGAGAAATACAACAATTACATTACGAACAATTAAATTATCTGTAAAATAAATAAATTAAATAAAATCACAAAATGTAAAATTAAACTTAAAGAAACTTTTTTATTCTTTTTTACTGTAAAGTTTTTATTTGAATATTCTGAGAATGAAAATCGTTGCAATGGTGAGAAACATTAAAGGATTAAAAGCGCATGAAGCACATTTCTCATCAACAGCATAAGGACCAATTTCTAATATATAAGCCATAATTATGGGAATTGCATTTTGTTCATAATGTCCTTTAAATAAATGAGCCATTGGACCAGAAGCCCAAACACCAACATCTTCACCAGCATGAGTATCTCTGACTATAGGAACTAATGAAGGATGTACAAGGAATGGATTTGTAGTGTCATAAGTTTCAGGATTGATTCGAGTCCCTTCTTCATCATGTGTAACATAAAATCCTGGCCCATTTGCATATGAAAGTGTCATATAAGGAATGTTATCATCATCAGAAACTTTAGCAATTCCAAGCACGTCATTGCCACGAGGTGGTTGACCATTATATGTAAACACATGACTATGATCAGATGTTACAACGATAAGAGTATCCGACGTATCTGTCATGTGACGAGCTACTTCAACTGCTTCAGAAAGTTGCTTGGTTTCATCTAAAGCTATTTCTGCATAGCCATAATGATGGGCTTGATCAATCATTCCACCCTCGACAAATAAAAAGTAACCATTTTCTTCCTTTTGTAGCATTTTAATGGCAGTCACGACCATATCTGTTAATGTTGGTTCTTGATGTTGCAAGTTCTTATCAATAACATCTAAATTATATTTCATATATCCATGTTCAAATAGACCAAGCAAATAATCAGTTTTAGCGATGTCAACATTTCTTAAACCATTTTTATCAAATACATAAGTTGCTTGACCATCTTTACTTTTTTCTGTTTTCCATTCATCAATTAAATTTCGACCATCTAGACGATTACCTTTTTGGTTTTCTTCATCAATGGAAGATTCACCGAGGAAATTGGAACGACCACCGCCAAGGATCACTTTCAAGTTGCGACCTTCAACATTATACACAAGTTGTTCAGCTATGTCTTGATATTCTGAAGAGTTACAATTGTGACGTTCCATGTGGAAGTCACTTTCCCATTCACGATGACCCATATGAGCATAAATTGCTGTAAGGGAATAAACACGATTAAAATAATTTTGAAAGGTTTTAAAATTTACCTGAAGGTGAAGCATTTGTGACGGTTGTAGTTGTAATTAATCCTGTGCTTCTACAAGATTTCTGTGCCCATCTTGCAATTGAATCAACATGATTTTCTTCATCAGTATGTGCTGAACAATTTCCTGCCTTTGCTTTTGCATTCAGACCAATAAGTTCGAAGTTTGTTTTGACGCCAGAAAGATAAGCTGTAGCAGTACAACTTGAATCAGCCACTTGCGAATCAACGCAGTAAGTCTAAATTTCAAATTGAAATACTTGAGTTTAAATTATTTTATCTCTTTTCTTTTTGATTTTTTCTTGGTTACTTTAGAATATCCAATATAAGGAAACTTTTCAAACGATAATTCGATTTCTTCACCACCCATGTACATTCTTGTAGCTGCAATTGTGGCAAAGCTCATTCCATCACCCATGAAGAAAATAACATTTTTAGCTTTATTTGTGTTTTCCTGTCTATTTAATAATTCTTTTAAAAAGTTTTGTCCTTGTGTCGTCCAATATTCAGGTTGACGTTCCTTTTCATCCTTAAATGAAAATGTTCTTGGCTTATAATTTATATTTTCTTTATGATGATATTCATCTGTATGAACTGTGAAAAATATTCAAATCAAAAAAGGTTTCTGAAAAAAGAGAGACAGTAAATAAACCTACCAGTTGATAGCAAATAAATGACTATTATCACAAAACTAATAAACTTCTTAAAAGAATCCATTTTTTGTTTCGATGAATGTTGCCGGGTTGAGAATTAAAACAATACTGAGAGACATTTAAAGTTTCAAGTTTTAAAAAAGTTAAGGCAAGCGTATTTTGATGAGTTTTTCAACAACCACATTAATTAAGTTATTGCAATCTTATCATCAAAACGATGATAAAAGTTATATTTTCCGGGAAAAAATATATTTAACTTTAATTGTATCCCAAAAAAGAGTTTTTCATGTATGTGTTGCGTATCTGAAAGCTGAAAATCAAATAATTTTAATCCAAATTAAGTACGGTATTCATTTGATTCTCTTTGCCAAATCAACCGTATTTCATTTCATGTACACAATCTGGATCTACCTAAATAAAATCACAAAATGTAAAATTAAACTTAAAGAAACTTTTTTATTCTTTTTATTCATCATTCTAAGTTGCATACACTTGACCTTAGGGTAAGTATGTTAAGTTCTTTCATTCACGAGTTATATTTACATTAGTTATGATTTTGTTTGTTTTCTTTTCTTTCTGATAATAACATAATTGCGCTTATTTACAGGCTGATTCCTTTTATTATCACTTATAACTATTTACATCTGCTTTCAATTGATTTGCTTCACAATGCATTGCAATGCAAAGAAACATTTTTTGATATTTTCATCAGAAAGAGAATTAGAAAATAAAGTAGGTAAAATGGATTTTCCTTTTTATGCAGATAAATGACATAAACTGATGGAAAACTTGAAAAACTCACTCACAAATATGAAGTGAGAATTTTCTTAATTTACGTAAAATTTTATCATTTTCTTATCTTGATTTTTTTTTTTTTCTTTGTTGGAGGCACACAAGGATAATTCGAAAATATTTTGTTTTAATAGGAAAGCTTTTTTGATTATTTAGAAATTTTGTTTTCTTTCAAGCTTTGTGACACATGAAAAATTTTAACTTCCAATTTTTTTTCTTCTCCTTTTTTATGCAACAACAAAAAAAGCTTTCTCTTAGTATGATTAACATTCATTTAGAAATTCATCTACTACTCTACCTAGACCTTGATAATTCGTCATCCTCTAAGATTCATCAAAAGCTAAAGTGATATCGGATAAAATTTTCTTTTTGTCTGTAGGAAGAAATTGAGTCTCTCAAAATTGCGGCGTGAAAAGTGGTGAAATTAATTGGAAAATTCCAATACCATATTTTGGCTGCAATAAATAGAACACAAGCGAAAAATAAAATGATTCAGATTAAAAAGAAAGAAAGCTTTCATCTCTAACTGACACAATGAAAAGATCACATTGATTGGAAAATGGTTTTTGAAAAGATGAAAGTTTAAAATAATGAGAAAATCTAAATAAAAGAAAGAATGAAAAGCATTTCTAAGCTTTCATCTTTATCTAAATAGATCATTGTTGAAGTTTTATTTTAGGTAAACATCAAGAGAAATGAAAAATGTAAACTAACTAAATAATTAAAGGGGGTGAGAAAAAGAGAAATGAATGATAGAAGTCTTCGCAGATTTTAATGAAAAGTATCAAATGATGTGCCCCAAATTCTCCTTCTCCAATCCCAATTAGTATAATTTAATAAAAAAATTTAAATTATTAATGAATGATGATAGTGATTGGGATTTTAATTATTAAAAAAAACGAATGTCTAAGCTATTGTGGTCATGAATAAAGCGTAATCTACGTAATCTATGATTCTTTTGATGTCATCATCAACATTTACCATCGTCATCATCATTATCGTTACTAATCTTTCAAATCTCATCATATAAAATTTTAATTCTAACATAGATATGAATCAAATCATCGTCAGCAGAGAAAAATAATTTTAAATAAAAAAATAATAATCATCAAGGTTAGTCAACTATTACAGAAAATGCTTCTCTTCATTTCTAATAAACGTTTATCAACTAAAGTTCTGTGTCTTCATCTCTGCCCTCAAGTGATCGATACTCATCAGAGTCGTCAAGGGATGCAAGTTCGCCTTCAATTGCAGCCTGATCTCTCATGACTGGCGCCTAAAGAAGTTGTGCGAAGTTGTTACGAATTTTTAATAAAATGTTAAGCAAAAAAGTTTCTAAAAAGTTTTTTTTTTTAATTTTTGGATGTTGTAGGTAATTATAGAACAGCCCACCAAGTGATCGAGCGTGGGAGGGGGAGAAAAAAATAAGCAGCATAGGGCGTGGGAGAGTTTAGAGAATTTTGATGAAGAGAAAGATTTAAAGAATAAAAGCTTGACTTACCTCTTCAGAGTCTTCCTTTTTATCGTCAGCTTTTGCTTGTTTATCAGCTTCATCTTCCTCTTCACTCATAATTAAAGTTTTATCACGAAAACGATCTTCATTAAATGACAAACATTCATCATCTTCCGTTAAAGAAATATTTCTTTCTTTAAAGATTCCTTTATGTTGCGAATCGACACCTGAATCAACCATGTCACTACTTGCTACACCACCCGTTGCTGTATCTAATAGAAGATTTTTTGTATCAGTTTGAGAGAATGAATCGATGAGAATACTTGGCTGACGTTCAATTTTCGATGATTTTGATGATTCACTTTGAGAATCTAAATACGAAATATTTAAATTAATTTTCTAAAAATTTTTTTTTTCATTTCTTTCTCCTTTCACTCACCAGTTGATTTCCTTGATCTTTTTTTCTCGATTGTTGTACTCTTGTCCATCAAGGGTGAGCGTGGTCGCACTTTAACACGATAAAACTTTGTGCCTTTACTAACTTTATAACGATTCTCATCCTTCTTTGCATGACAATATTCTTTGTCGGTGACTTTTCCAATACAAAAGTTGACTTTTGGATATGTGTTGGGTGGAACTGACACAAGTTTCATATCATTGAAGCTTTCAGCATGTAAAAAGTAGAGAATTGAAGAGTCTTGCACAACTGTGTATTGATCATGTGCACTGTTCCAAACAACAAGCACAAGATCATCTTTTGAGCATGAATTAACTGTGACGCCGCCACTACATTGAGAAAGAGCACTCAATTTTGCTCGTTTCGATCTTTCTTTCTCCAAATCCTTTTCCAACTTCTTTTTCTCATTTTGAGCATCTTCAAGCTTCTCTTTGTAGATTGATAATTGACTTTCATTTAATTCGATGTCGGTGAGTGACTGAATTGTCTCCTTGAGTCTCATCGATTCCTTCATTAAGAATTGTTCACGTTCACGCATTTGGTCGAGTTGTCGATCTTTTTCATCAAGAATTCTTCTAAAGATTTCTTGACTTTCTATTGGCGATTTTCCTGGTGAACTTGTCACTGAAACTTTTCTTGTTGATTCAGATCGTTCCTTTTCAATTGCTGCCTTTACAGTGACTTTCAATTCCTCTTCAAAGTTTTCTTTCATTTGATTGACAATCGCTTCATGGGATGAAATGTCAATGATATCAGGACGTTCAATCTTTTCAAGACTTGTATCCGATGGTGAACGTTCCATTGATGTCATTAATTTAAACTTACAACGAAGTGACTCAATTTCATTCCGATGATCAGTCAACATTCGCTCTCTGAGCTCCTTCAATGCTGCATCGCGTTCAACACTTTGCTGTGAAAGTTTCTTCTCTAATTCCTGTCGCTTTTGCTCCAATTCTTGTGTTTTCTTTTCATGAACTGAATTTTCAGTTTTAAACTTCATTTCTTGTTCATCAATTTTCTTTTCGAGTTCCTTTTTCTCGCTCTTTAATGTGTTGATTTCATCGTCTTTAATGTAAAGGCTTTGCCTTAAATCATTCATTTCCAGTTCATGATCAACTGTCAATCGTTGGACAATTTCACGTTCATGATTTTGAGCTTCAACTTTCAAATCTTCCCATGAATGAAGTAAATCTGTCAACTCTTTTTGTATATTTTCTTTCTCATTTGTAGTTTCAAACTTGATTGTACTGATTTCATGACGAAGCAAATTTATTGACTCTTGCGCTGCTTGATGCATCAATCCAAGTAATTTCTTTAACCGGTCAACTTCTAATCCCACAGCAACATTATCATCAGTTATCACTTCTTCATCCTTTGTTAAACGAACGTCCATACTTGTTGACATATCACAAGTTTCCACATTTGTTCCAACACAAATGCTGTTAAGATTTAATTTGTTCTTGTCAGTTGAAGTTTGTCCAATCTTTTCATATTCCTCTGTGTCGGTTTCTGATTCACAGCCTCTGTAAATTACATTTCAATAACATAAGAACAGAATTTATTTACTGAATAAATTTAACTTACTTTTCATAATCTTTTATTTGTGCGAAAACATTTAAAAGTTTTTTATTTGTTGGATTTCCACTTTCGTCTATTGATGTCATTTCTTGATTGCTGTGAGAGCTTCTAGGAAAAAAGAATTTTTAAGCTTGAAGGTAGAATTAAAGAAACAAAAAAGTCAATTTACCTTGATGAGAAAAAATCTATGATGGCACTCAGATTAGGTAACTGATTAGCTTTTGTCAGTTCTGGAAGATAATTTGATAAATCAGCCAAGTCTGAAAAAACCAATTGATTAATTAATGAAGAAATAAGGAAGAAAGAAAATTCACAAACCATTTTTCGTTAAATCTGGTAATGACGAGTCAAACATCGATGGCGCTTCAGTTGCAAACTTTGGTGGAAAATCTTCAATGCCAGGAAAGAGTGTATTGAGAAAATGACCATCAAACGAATATTTGAATTCTTGTCGACGCATCACTTCATCGTTGTATATTGTCAGAAGATGACATGCGAGATTCGATGCCCACTAAAGAGAAATGTGATGAATCATTGAGTGAATGAACCGATAAAATAGCAAAATAAAAAGTCTGAAGGTTACCATCAAAAAAGCTGAGGAAAAGATGCGACGTCGGACAACTTCAGTCACTGCTTGAACATAAACGCAAGGTGCTTGATGGATCTGTTCAATGATCCCCAAGTGCTTTTGAAGACGTCGCAAACATGTATGATAGAAGAGAAGTTTGCTATCAATTTCATACATTCGGTTTTCGATATGAATGACGAATTTAAGACGTTGAAAAAGATTCTTAGCGAGCTCATCTTTTGCTTTACTGCATCGTACTCGAATGTCGTACATTCTTTTGTGATTCTTCTGCATCACGATAAGTTGATTTCGATGAGATGCACAGAGATCAGGAAGAATTGATTGATCGCCTAGATTAGCTGCACGTGCTTGATTTTGTTGGAACGCTTGAGCCAAATCATTTTGTTCTTGAACAATTTTTCTTGCTTCGAACATTAAACTCTCAAGACCGCGTAAACGCTCTTCAAGTCCTTTGATCTCTTTCATATCTTCACGTGAAGCACTCTCAAACGTTCTCTCGATTTCGTCTTTTAATGTGTCCATTACATTCTTGTCGAAGACTTCCAATTCACGTGTACAGTTTTCTGCCATACGCTTGAGTGACTTTTGGTTTTCGCTTGATGAAATCCATTGTAACAAGGTCAGTGAAGAAGTCAACTTTTGATTTGAATCTTTCATTATCAGACCTTCGTCTTCTTGAGACAACGATGTCGATTGTTGTGGACTCTCTTCCACTGCGCTAATTTCTTTCTTAAATTCATCTGCTAAATTATCAGCAAATGATTCATCATCATTGTAGACTTCATCAAATGCATGAAAAGGTTGATTCTCAGCTCCTTGAATCAGTGGTGGTAGAATAGGAATTTTTGATAATTTCTCAATATCTTCATCAAAACTGTGAAAACAAGAAAATATAGGAAACTGCAAAAACTATTTAATTGAATATAAAACGAACCTTTCTAGATAATTTTTATATTCCATTCGCCGCTCTATGTGATCTCTAAAAACTTTGTCAAAGTCATTACAACGCGATTGAAATTCTGTTGTTAAATCTTCCAAATTTGCTATCACAGCCATCCAGCCCTGATGTTGCAAATGCTGCTCATGAACAAGCTTATCGCAAACCTTAAACTCTTTTTTTCCTAAGTCATAGTAAGTTTGCGCCAACTGAGCTCGTATAACGATAGTTTTATATTCAGCACGCAATTCCAGACAACGTTTTACTTCCATGTCCAATTCTGAATCTGAAGAAAATGATTTGTTTACAGATAAGACGCAAAAATGACTCATTCTGTTTATACATTCTCAAATGTTGTGAAATTTACCATTTTCTATACTCGGCCATGGTGCAGGTGGATTTCTTTGTTCTAAATCGCTACTAAACATAAAAATTGGATTTGAATCTGTCCCTGCTGAGTAGGTACATACACGACTCGAAGGTTTTAACGTCTCACCACCACTTACAAGCAAAACTTGACTACTTGCTGGAATCGCATACTGTCTTTCAACCGCTAGCATTAAAGACTGTACACTGTGAAATAAACAATTTCAGAGTGAGAAAACGTCATTTGGTCAATCAAAATATTTTTATTTGATGCAATCAGCTGCGGAGAAAGACGAGTACAAGTAAAATTTACTTACGTATCTAATGCTAAAGACATTTCGAAAGTCAGCATTCGACCCTGATCCATATTAAATATATAAAGCATCTTGGTTAAGTTTTTAAAAACACTTGCTTGGTTCCAGACACGCACTGTTTTCTAATCAGTCAGCTGAAGAAAAGTAAATAATTTTTTTTCGACACAAAAAAAAATTCAATTTTTTCCAAGTCGATTTTTCCTTGTTTTCACATATCAAAACATCACAGACTTAAAGTTTGTTCACTTATTTGTTGCTTATCTATAGATTTAAATAGAAATTAAACGACTCAAATGGTTGTAAAGTTTGTAAAATTGATAAATAATATTGAGGGAAAAATATTTTTGTGTTTCTGATTTTCCTTTGTGATTTTGATATAGCTTAATAAGCAAATAACACAAGTTTGTTGACATGAATGTCTGACTGTCAGAGTTAGAATTTTCGATTAATAGTCTTAAGCGTTACGAGAATAAGACCAAGAATAGCTTGACAAGTTTGTGCCCTAATCCATACAAACTTATAAAAGCGCTTACAAAGGGTGTGAGAATTGAAATAAAACAAACCGTTAAATATTTATCGTTAAAATCAATCGAAAAATTATTTATTTCATTTAAAAATATTTTTTCTTAATGACATCATCTAAGTTATTTAGAGATCAAGTTCACTGTATTAGAAAGATTAAGATTACCTTTCAAAACGTTTCTCTGTAAATTCTGTAAAAGATATTTTATTAATTAATATTTATTACAACTTTTAAGGAATATTTTATTTACCTTATTAAAGATATCGGTCATAAGACGGTTCTTTCTCTTTAAATTCTTAAGATTCTCGTCTTTTTTCTTTTGTTGGACCTCAGTCAAGTTATTAAATTTCTTCTGTGTTTGCAATTTGAGAGCTTTTGTGCTGAAAATTCTCTTCGTTTTCAAAGGAGGTTCAGGTAAACTTGAAAGAAGTTTTGTTTCTAAGGATTTCTCTGAGGTAAGAAGAAGAAGTTTCCTTCTATGTTCATTTCTCAAAGCTCTGTAATGATAATACAAATAAAATTATGAAACACGGTTGATAATTGAAATTGAAAATGTTACCTTAATTTTTTAAGTTCTTCGATGCATTTCTTACGTTCCTCGAAACGCATGAAAATTTCTGGTCGTTTACGGTTTAAGCATGTCTGAAGATCAATCTCATCATCATCGTCTATCAATGTATCGGTATTATAATTCTCTTTATCTTCGCTATGTCGACTTTCCAATGCCACTGAGTAGTTTTCATTGTAAATATTCTTCGAAGTTTTTTGCGGCAATGGCACATTCTCTCGTATGTTTGCCCTACTTCTCTTATCAAACGACAACGTGTACTTAATTGATGGCGGGTGCGTCTGTAGCTGCTTATCATTTTTCATGCGATTTATACGTTGCGTGACGTTTGTTGATGTTGTCGCAAATTTATTATCGTCGTCTGATTTCTTTCTCGCCTCATAAATCGGTTTCGTTCTGAATATTGAATTGGTTGTTTGCGTTTCAGCAATTTTCGAATAAATCTTCACATTTTTGCAATTCTTCTTGTTAACTTTGTTTGTAAACATATCAGATTGATAATGCGTTGTTGTTGTTTTATTATTTGAGTTTGTGTTGTTGACTGGCAATGACATTGAATCTGATGACTCAAACACTGACGACGATGCAAGTGACGTCGATGTTTGAGCATATTTTGTAATTGTTATTGGAGTTTTCTTATTTGCTTCCGACTTTAGTTTGATTGATTTTGTTCTTCTGCTTCCACCATGATAGGGTTGCGTGTAATGTTTCATTTCTTCATAAACCTTTTGACAATTTTCATATCTTTCTATAAATTTCCTATTTTTGTTAGCAATAAAACTTGTTAGACTTTCTCCATTTGATGGTGCTGCGTGTTGGTCTGTCGGAGTGCCAAGTTTTGAACGATTTTTCATTTTCTTGAGATTTGCATGAGAATTCCATAAAGCTGTGTCCGATTCAACTTCACATTTATTTTCAGCAGCTTTTGACTTCTTTTGTTTCTCAAGAAGCAACGAAAGATTCTCATAAATCGGACAGTTCTCATCCATCGCTATTGGCGTCTCATTTTGATTGAGAAGATCGCGAAGATTCTTTAAATGTTCAATTTCCTTCTCAATCCACTTTAAATGCGATTCTTTCTCTTTCTTCACATAATTCATTAATTCGCTCTTTGGTGCTGATGTTTTATTAGTTGAACCTCTCGTTGGTTCATCATAATGCGAATGTTTGTAATTTAATTCTGATTGTGTCATTGATTTTAAACAATCTTTAAAAACTTCTTCACGGGATTGTTTGGATGTTTCTTTTTCAGACATTTCATTTTTCTTCGGCAGTTTTTTCGCTAACTTCAACGCTTCTGATGGAGGTTGTGAAGAATTTGAGAGCGGATAAATCCCAGAGCTACCTAAAGATGATGTTTGCATACTTCTTGAAGTTTGAATTTGGACAATTTTGTTAATAACTTTTCCTGCAAGATTTCGTTTCAACTCTGGCTTCATACGCTTTGATTCGAGTAAAGAATTCAGTAAAGCGATGGCGATTTTGAGAGAATCATCAAAGTTTGATATGTCTTCTGGTTGAATTGAATGTTTGCTATTTTTGCTTGAAGGCTCCGTGCTTTTGGATGGAGGATCTGATGATTCTATCTTGGAATGTGCTGATTTCGTTGAACTTTCCTCTGAGAAATTCTTTGGTTCTGGTTTCCTCATTGAACCAGCAACAAACTCGAAGCTATCTGCGACTTCACTGTGAATTTGGTAAACTTCTTCCGATTCATTGTTGATCGTTTCTTGACATTTTTTTGGGTCTTTTTTTGTTGATTCCACTTGCGTACTCTTAGCAAAATTTTTCACTAAACTTGTTTGTGAACTTTTTTCATTTATTTTGCTACTGACCTGACTGCTCACTTGTAGCTTTGGTGTTGATTGTGCTTCAGGCAATTGGAATTCAAAATTCGATTGATTTCGATATTTTTCTTTATACTTCTCGTAAATATTTTCCCATTTCTTTTTCGTTTTTTTGATGTCATTAAATGTTTTGTCTTCTTGAGTTTCCGTTGAACGATTTTTTATAACAACTACCAAATTTTCATTTGGTAATTGCAATCCAATTTGTTGGAAGTAAGCTTTAAGAGCATTTATTTCACCATCTCCGAGCTCCATCGGATTGCATAACTGAAAGCTTTGTTGAGCAGCTGAATCGTATCCCTGAATGAGACAAATATGAAAGAAAACAAATAAAAACTTGCACTTAAAGGGTGAATTTTGTTTATAGCAACCATGACAGGACACTTACAGGTATGAACGAGTCCCACTCCATAGGATTTTGTTTATTAGAAACGCAACTTTCGTGAATCGACATGGGACTCGTTTCGATGTTTTGTTGCGAAGGAATTTTAGGTTTTAGATTTGAGCAAATGATTGGCTTAATTGGCTCCTCTAATCTCTCTTCAGTCGTATTCTTTATACATGAATTATTGTCAGAGTGAGAATGAACTGGAGGCTGAGCAGAAGGTAAAGTAATTTCAATGACCGACTCGTAGTTAAATTGATGATGTTTCTTGTCTTTTTTCTCTCCACTTTGTTTTACCACAACTTTAGTAGGTTTTGCTTCAGGTATAGGAGTTGCTTTAGGAATATCATCTTGTTTCAAATTTTCTTTAGATGTCTTTGGACTTTTTGATCGACGCTTTTTAGCTGATTCACTGAGACTTTCTAAAGATTTTGTCTTATTTTTTGATAATGTTGCTATTGGCGTAGAATTATCACGTTCATCACTTGAAAATGAGTTCCTACGAAGGAATTTTTCTAATCCTCGGCCTGAAATAAACAAATTCTCAATAATTTCCTTACAAAAAAACAAATTTTATTTACCATCGCCACATTTTTGCAAATAACTTCTTAATACACTTTTCATTGCCGATTCCATTATTTACTGATATAAGAGCACAAATTGGTGTAACAATTCTGAATATTTAATCATTGAGATATAAGTTTATTAAAGTGAAACAGAAAAGAAATCTTTAACAAATCAAACAAAACAAAAATTATTTAGGCAGCAACTGAATTCGGTCTGCTAGGTTTGGCTACGATGTAGCCGTTGGAGTTAGATTAAAAATAAAAATATGGATTAAAAGTGATCGTGAGATTAGCTTAAATTTTTAAGCGCGATTAAAAACTTACAAATTTTTGATGCTGAAAAAAATAGAATCTTTCAATTTCACTTCTATAGCTTTATCTTCAAGATCAATCAATGAATTGTTGATTTCAGTTTGAATTCTCATGTTTTCATTTGAAAGAATTTTCTTTTTTTTTTACTGACAATTCTCATAAGAGTATTGAATTGTTTTACGAGAGAAAAATATGTACGCATATCGTTTTAAACAGACAGAATTTCAGAAAAGTCCTATTATAACTATCCTAATTTAAAAACAATATTTATGTCTAAAAACATCGTAGCAAGAGCTTTCAACAATTTTAAACACATTAAATTCTTTTTTGTTTCAGTTTCTTTATTGTATCGTACCATTTAATTGAAACTTACAATTGAATCTTAAAAAATTTAAATATCAAAAGTATCAGCCACAGGAGGTGTGCTATTGAGAAGGAAATGATTCATGATTATAAACAATACAATCAACTTAAAAAAATTAAATTTAAATCGATTTTATTATTACTGAACATGACTACATCTTTTACCATTTCTAAATGGTGAAATTGAGTCAGTTTCTTCACACATCCTCAAATAGCACAATGAAATCCCTCATATGAGAAAATTATAAAATTAATTTTAATGAAATTGAGCCGAAAGGGAGGTGTGTAAAATTATTAAAATTATTTTTGTATGATTGAAAATGAGACGAGAATGATAAAACGAATGCAATGAAGAGCTTGAATGCTCTACTTGAATAATGAACGGTTGGAAACATCGCCGGTGTTTCTTGGATGATAAACAACATCAGGTTTTTCTCCCAAGACTTGGCTACGTGAATATGCTGAATCGATCTGCAATGGCTTCTGGTCATCTGGTCGGAGTGTCTTAATCAAGTCGGATAATGAGAGAAATGATTGACGAGTTTCTTTATCATTTGAGCTGATTTTATCAAGATTTTGAATTGTATCGGTTAATTCTCTCAATTTCTGTTCAACTGGAATATCTTCTTCCTCTTCTTCATGATCGACTCTTACGTCATGTTCAGTGTGTCCCTCCAAGTCATCAACATGTGTATGATCATCATCCGACTCTTCTTCTTCCTCGTGATTTGCTTCGGTAGTTGTGTCTTCATCATGATCAACATTGTCATGCTCTTCAGTTTCAAGTGGCTTTTTGGATGATCCCATTAAAGAAACATAAAGAGCAGTTGTATCTTTTAATGACATTGGAGCTTCGGTAGTTGTTGAAGTTGTGATTGGTCGCCTAGATTTTTATGTAGACATTAGACATTTATTCTCTTTCACCCATTAAAATAAGTAAATAATTAGCTTAATTTACACCATCACCATAAAAGTTTCATGACAATCTCGACAACTTAGAATGGAAAACGATAACAGATCAGAATATGAACATTGTATAATGAACTAACTTGTCCACAAACCACCGAGAATATGTTCCGTTAATTGAGAGAGGTGAGTGAATGTGTTTAATAAACATAAAATGCAAGAAATGTTAAGAACTTTTCTCTATCGACGATAAGATGAAAATTAAGAACAAGAAATTTTTGGGATCGTTGAACAGCAAAGTTAAAAGAACATCAAATGAGATTTCTCAAGACATTTGAAAAGTTCTCACATTTTTTGCATTAAGTAAGTATGAAAAGTTAGTGATCTAAAGCAACATCGCCTTAACCAATAATTTTTAAACTTTAAAGTGCTTGAAGGCATTTTAATGATCGTTGATTGATATCGGAAGCGAAAAAAGAGAAAAAGAAAATTTAGCTTGAAATGTTGGGGGTGGGAAAGGAAAAGGAAAGAAATTTATCAGAATGGGATTGTGATGTTAATTGAATTAGTATTTCTTTTCAACATTGCGCTTCTATTATGTACAATCATTCTCGATTCAGTACTGAAGCAACAAATTATGGTGGAAATATGGAATAAGTTAGCTCACCTAATTCATCATTCATTTTTCTTTCAATTTATCATTCTTATCTTTTATCATTTGTTTTTGTTTGCGGTTTTCTTTTTCGTGATGTAATTTTTTCGCTTTAAGTAATTTTTATTTTTCTGTTTTCTTCTTTATTATTTTTCTTTTTTATTTTTAAGATCTACGCGCGCGGATTATTGTCTTGCTTGCGGGAGGCATTAAACATTTTTTTGTTTTTAATTTACCCCTGTGATGAGGAAACAGGAATGCTTCCATAATTGTAATAATAGCAGCGTGTTTGTTCGCAGATGAAGTCTTTAATTTGAAGGCAATCCTCGGGAGCCCATTTGAGATTTGGAGCTTTCAACAACACGCAATTGTTGTCCAATGACCTGAGAAGATAAAACAGAAAGAGAAAGACATGAGAAAAAGTTGTTTTGTATCACTTTGTATGTTCCTTACTTTCTGTTGTCATCTCTGGCAGTTCTCTGTGGTGAAGTGTTGCCGTTGTGATCCAATGGGTCAATTATACCGTTTGAATCACGCTCATTTTCGAAATATTGGAAGGTGGAGTTAAATGGAAGTCCCGTACTCATCCACAAATACATTCCTGTTCCCAAACGATTTCCTGATGTCCAGAAATCGAAATTATTGAACTTGGCATTGGTCAAATAGTTTGTCATTGACTCCACCTTCTCCTTAGTGTCGAATGATGCCAATTGAAGTCCAAGTGAACGACAATACTGGTAAGCAAGATAATAATTCAGCTCAGGTGAATATGGATTCATACGTGAAATGTAGTATTGAATGCCATCCAATTGAATGGTCATGATGCGTTGACCTAAAACAGACAGAACAAAAAACAAATTTTAGATTCAAATCGCATGTTAAATCATTGACAATGTCGTTAAGGTTGCTAAAACAAACGAGCAAACGAAAAGAATTTCAGCATTGACTTGTCATTACTTTGATTATTCTCATTTTATATTCCCCTCGCAATGTCTTATACAACTTCCCACCGGATCTCTCGCAATTACTTCTTCTTTACTGTTAAAATAATTTCTTAGACTTGTAGAACGTTTTCATTAATGCATAGGAAAAATTTTATTAAAAAATTTCCACGTTTCACCTCACGAAACCGTGAATCATGATTCAATTTTTTTTCCATCAAGTAATTTACATATGTAATTTCATATCCGAGGTTAGTGTCTCCGTATTATATTCGGTCACCATCGTCATATTTTCCTTCCGTGTTCTACGATGACGAATGAAAAATATTCCTCAAAAAAAAAACGAAACAATGAGAATTCTAACTAACAATGATAATTTCTTTCCATTCAAACGTAAACGTTCTTTTATTTCGTCTCACGAATTGTAGAATTGATGATAATAAAGCCAAGAATTAGATATCTGCTTGAAAATTCAATGACTCTAATTGAATTTCAATCGTTGAAGACAACGAAAAAAAAATTAGAGAATTAGCTACAGTCTTGAAAGGAAAGACACAAGAAGAAGTCATTAAAAGTAATTGCGCATTCTTTACATCTCTCGAAGATTCAAAAGACGATAATTAAATTTTTGATTTGCCGATTAGCTTGAGGGCAGAAGCATCATTCAATATTCTTCTATAGTTTCTTTCTTTTCTTCTTCATTTCTGCTTTGAACTGAATTAAGCTTTCGTATTATGCCACAATGAGATATTTTCAAACATCTAACTAAACTACCTACTCAGGCTTCAATGATGAGCAACAAATGATATCAAATCATTTAAGTAATGATAGCTTGCTTTTTTCTAAACCATTTTCAAGCAGACATAGGTAGTTTCGTTTTTTCATTTGCAATTTAAGATTATGTCTGTTCATCTGCTTTAATGCTAAGCTTTTAACAGCAATCAAAATATAATTCTCTTTTTGCTCGATGTTCGTCTAAAAAAGCGTGGAATACCGAAACAATAAAGGAAACTAAAAACATTTCCTGTCAATTTTATGCACAACCAAGCATTTTCTTCTCTCATGATGAGACTGCCTCTTTAAAACAATGCCTTCGCTTAGATCGCAATATTGTTGCATTTTAATGAAGAAACTAAGAACTTCTTTAGATCTGTAGGATGCATAGATGTGTTAAAAAATGTTTTTCAATTTGAAAGTCATGAATTTAAATCATTGATTGATTACAAAGATTTGTACAGAATTGAATAACAGCAAAATATTTTACTTGCATCTTAATCTTTAAAGTCATATGCTGAATGTCCGTTCATTTCAAAGCATTAACATAAATGCTGTAAAATTAAAAATGTGCATTACATTTCAGGAGCGTTAAGAAGAATCAAGACTCGAGACATAAAACTTGCATTACGGAACGAACGGCTATCATAATCCGCAAAATTTATGATCAATCTATTTTTCTCCCGGACTTTGATCCAATCATCTATTGAGTTTCAATTCTTTTTCTTACTGTCCCGTCATTCTGATGTTCTTAAAAGCCCGAGGCAATGCTCTGTTAATGCGCAAACGATAATAAATTATGATGGGAAAGAAATCGAAAATGAAACAAATTTATATTTTTTTAGCTTGAACTTAAATAACATCACGACGAAACGATACTTAGATGTAACCTAACGTATTAATAAGAAAAGAACAAGAAAAACATGAAGAAGAATTGTGTGAGAAACATCGCTTTTTTCTTCCAAAAATTAAAGTTTAAATAAGAGTTGACGGAAGATTGCAAAACCTTTTAATGTTTGTTCTCCTCAAACAAGTTTTGGGCTGCAACGAAGTTATTGTACATTAAATTGATGATTGATGAAACGTTATTGATGAACTAATCGGTCATTTAATAATCACAAATTAAAATCTTAATTCTTTTAAAGAAAATAAATTCTGAGTTTCCTGTGATTTCAGATTAGAAAAAAAAGGTTTTAGGAGAATTCTGCCTTTCTATTAGAATTTTTCTGGTTTTTTTTTTCTTTTTCACCATCATTTATTTTTTAGTTTGTTCCACGAGAGGAGAGTCATCGACCTGTCGCTATCGATATATTGTTTTCTATAGCTTAAGGAAGGCATAATGTTTTCGTGTGCTGTACAGCAATAATCGAATAGATGGATAGACGCTACACATAAAAAAGTATTATACATCTATTGATATATTGAGTAAAGTCATTCGTTATTCTCGGAGAATGTTTAAAACGACACTGACATTTGCTGTATGTCATTCTTAGATGAAGATTCGTATGATGAAAAGCGATAAGAGAGATAATGAAAGCTACTCGAGCATTTCTTACAATTTGCGATACATTTAATTGCATCATCGGTAGCAACATGAGCAAATAACAAGTTTGGTGAATGAATTAAAGACTTGCACTTTACAAACGACGAACGAACGGAATGAAAAAAAAAAAACATGAAAGCAGTGTAATGAAGTATTCAAAGCCGGTAGAAAGGTATTATCAAACCGTTACTAAGCATTTAATTGATATCGAAGGCTTTGAATTTGATCAGACTTATAAATCGCTTTTAAATTTCAATAAAAATTCTAGATCTGAATAAAATGTTCTATTATGCTATCTAATTGAACAAATGGAAAACCTCACTTAACGCTTATATGTGAAACGAATTCAAAGACCTGAATGTTAATAATATTTTAATTAACCAATTCAAATTCTTCTCTCGATTCTTAATAAGTAAGTTAGATATTCGTTCGTACTTCTTTTGCATTATCATCATTTATGAATTTCCTTTCCGTTATTAATTTTAAATCAGTTAATGTGAAGAACGAAGTTGACTTGATTTCCGGTCTTTAAAACAACGAACACAGGTAAATTATTTATAAGTTCTCAACATTATCAACATCATCAACACCCACGAACGAACAATGATTGTTAAAAATTCATCTCCCATGTTAAATTTGTTTGTTTTTTGTGAGAACATTTTGACATCGTTCACATATTGCAGCGAAAAATAAATTCTCTCATATGAAAAATGTTTTTATGATTATTCAAGATGTGGTAATTTGATATCGTTTCTTACCTGTTGTAACAACACATAAAACACTGAGCGACAACAAAAGCTTGATCATTTTGAAAGATTTCTTTAGTTTTTTATATTTTGACGTTTCCTTTTCTAATCCTTAAATTTATTGTTGACAGAAAAAATATCCTTTTTCCGTTGCTATTCGACACTTAACCAAACACACAGAGGAATGAATATCTAGTTAATTCACACGACTTTTTTATGGTTTCTTATAGGATCTTTTTCTTTCCTTTTTTCAAATGAAAATAAAAAGAAATTTTGTTTATAGAAATAAATCCTCTGAGGTTCTTTTCACAAGCTAACGAAATCAAAGTCAAGTTCAAATGCTTGGGCAATTTAACGATTCCTCGGTTTTATATCAGATATCCCCACCATGAATACTATTCCGCTCTCGGGTTTTTCGGGATGGAAAGAAAAAAAAGAACAGAAACACACAACATGAGAAGAATATTCTTCAACATTTACTTCGTTCTTTCTTGCTTTCAGGCTCAGGTTTTGTGATCACAAATAAGTTGGAAAGTTATATAAATTAATGCTAAAAAAATATATGTTAAAAGAAACAATAAAAGAAGAATATCAGAGAAAGACGGAGAGAGAAAGACGACCAAAGCATAAAAGTAGATGAAAGCAAAGAGTTGAATTGAAAGAAGAAAGAGAGAAAATGCTGAGGAAAGAAAGAATGAAAAATCAGAATCAAAAAGAAATACTGCTTAGAACGATGGTAGAGATGTTTATGATTGTTGTAGTTTTGGGTTCACGGGTTCAGTGCTGTAATTAGCAACGATAGAAAATTTTCTTGAAAGCTTTCAGCATGAGTTGAGTTGAAATAGGTAATCGTTAAAAATTTTTTTAAAGCTTTCACAAAGTTTTTCTTTTCGAAAACTTTTCATCCATCCCTGCACTTTTATTTATCCAAGGAGTGTGCCTTCTTCTTGCACATAGATGAACATTGAAATCAATATACACAAAAAAAGGCAATGCAAAGAATATTTTTTCACTAAAGAGTCAAAATGAGTTTAAAAGATTGAAAAATTATATAAAGTTGCAGTTAAACTTCGCAAATATGTCTCATTTAATTTTCATGCTGCAAGCGAAGCTTTGAGAATGTTAAGGAATAAATATAACATTACATTAATCAACATTGTTGCGTGTTATTGCTTCTTGTGCATGTGATAAGAACTCTTGCGAATCAGCATTTACATGGAGATTATATTTTTCTATTTTAGTATTCAATAGTGAGTCATGTCTATTGGGCACTTTTTTCTTGATCATCTTCATGCTTTTAAAAAGGAAAACAAGTCTAATGAGAATATTCTATTGTGTTCTTTTAACGAAACATATTGAATGGTAAAGAAAATAAAAATAAAAGAAACGAAGAAGAGTCGAGAGTCGAAGGTTAAGAGTGTCGAGGTTTGGTTTTCGTTTTGTTTTCTTTGCTTAGCTGTATACACTTTTCAGCTTTTTTTCCTTCATATTCTCAATATCAAGATCATGGCCAAAGAATTATGTGAGAAGAAGTGGACAAAGCAGCAAAAACTAAACGAACTCATGAGCCAGAACATGATGCTTGGATACTTGTATATTTATTTTCAAACAACCATCACTTGGTTACGTACTTGAAGTCAATTTTTTTCCTGCTTCGGCATCTTTAATTACATAATGATACCTAACAAATGATGAGACAATACATCATGTCTTCTAGATGAATGTGATGATGAAATCTCTTTTTTGTTTTGTTTCGTTATTGATATTGTTATTATTTTCTATCATTCTTTACAGGAATTTACAACTCGAAAAAAATAAATAAATCTTCATAACTGGACAGAGATAAGAAGTAATTTATTTCAAATTTCTATGCAATTAGAGTGCATTCGTGTTTTGCGAATTGAGACGCGCCGCAAACTTATAAGAAATGTTTTCTCATGTCCGGTCAATTATCTCGTGATCACTTTGACCGGTAATTGGAAGAACATTACGGTAATAAAGCTCTCAATTCAGGATAGAATCTTCTTTTATTTTTTTCTTCTAATTCTTGACAGAGAAACGCTTGAGTTCATCGAGTGCACGAATGAGTATCATGCAATTTCTTTTTTTTTATTTTCTTTGTTGTTACACAATAAGATATCATCTTCAGGCTAAAGTATTTGGATAGAACTTAAAGAAATGTATTAACATGCGAATACATACATTTCATCGAACTTTATTTCTACTATTTAATTAACACACGTAAAAGAAAGATTTTTAATTGATATCAAGCATTCTGATATTTATGTTCATTTACTCACTAAAGCTTGAATACTTTGTTTCAGTTAAAGCTTAAATGATACTTACATTGAGCATTTGAGAAAAAAAAGTAGTTGTATCATTACTTTTTTATTATTTCAAGTCTGTAACTTTACAGTAGCTTGCAATTGCAAGAGAAATTATTTAGCAACTATCTTTTATGAAGCTCATGAAATCATAACAAAAGCCATGTTTGCAGCTTTCAATGCTCATGAGATTGGATTTTTTTCTGAAATTCTGAAATGTTATCCACGAAGACAACGGAAAGCAAAAAATATCAATTATTATAATCATAAAATCTGAATGTCTGGAAGAAGAATTCTTCTTCAAATAAAATTCTTTCTTTGCCATCCTGACTTTTTTTTCTCTTTATTTCAAATATTCCCGACCGACGACACAAACAAAACGAGCAAACCCCTCACACATTCTTTTAGGTATTAGGCAAAAGCAAATTCTTAGGTTTGCAGGTTTGCTTCTTAATTGTGTCAGGGACTTCGCGAGATATCTCTTTGTGTATGGAATTTTGAATCCACCTTTCAGTGTTGAAAAGAGGTAGAAATCTATTGCAAAAGTTGATTTTCTCGACTTAAGAGAGAACTTCTGCAATCATTGACTGTTAACTTTATAAATTTTCTTAGCAAGAAATTTAATAAGTAAGTATATAGAATAAAAAAGATTCATTTCTTTGGAAGCATCAACGTGTTCGAACATTAATAATACCCCAAGAGTCTCTGATATGAGACCATAAATATTTCATTTATTTTCAAACGTTTTTTCTCATATTATTTTATTCCTTGTGAAGTGATGCATATTGTTCTTCTTCCAGATAAATATTTCGGTTGTTTCGTTGCAACCAAATATATTTATTATCTCGAAAACTCCATTTCCTCCTCTTCTTCGTCTCGATTTGATAAAGCGACTTGGGAAGACAACAAAAAGAAGTCATAACTTTTAGTTTCAACGCTGTCCGCTCATTAAAGTGAATGAGAAACTTCAGACCATAGAGCTATGAATAATTATCATCATACGATTTATTTACACAATAGTTCAAATTAAAATGAGAGTTCAACCATTGCTAGATTCTCGTATCGGTTAAAATAAATCAAATAAATATCTACATTTACTCGAAACTATTTATTTACATTTATCTAAAAACATTTCATTTATTTCTATTGTTCATTGATGTTTTCCAATCTTAAAATTCTGTTCTTTCCTTCTCAGAAAAATCTATTAAATTCTTTCTTCTCTATCTACTAAAGCTATGCATTTTTTAATCATCTTTATTTATATCAAGAATCACATGAAGTTATTTAAGGTAGTTTATCATATCATAAAATTGATTTGCATTTAAAGAAACAGTTTGCATGTTAGAATTCTTTGAAATTTAATTTCGAACTTCGTTTTAATTTATTATTTGATTAAAAATATTATTTTTATGGTGACATTTGAAGGTGTTTTGTGTACTTTAGAAAAGATGAAGCGAGCACAGTACTTAGCATCTACAAAATAATTTTGACTTGAATCCTACCCAGGTTGCTTGAAGCTTGACTTTAAGCAATTCATAAAATTTTTTGGCACGTGATTTACATCCTCCTGAATTATACTCAACTCAATAACATTTTTGTTCGTTCTGAAGCCAAAATTTATCAAACACAATTGTTTTTTTTGTCATGAATGATTTTTTTTTCTTTTTCTTTATTTAATCATAACTTTAATAAATATCATAACATTTACATAAAATAATCCAAAAAAAATTTCTGCAAAGTTTGGATAAAAACAAAATTAAAGTCAAACATAAAATATTATAATCGAACAAAACAATGCTTAAATGAATTTTGGATCGGATTTTGGTTTCACCAGCGACGTATAAATAACAAAAATCGTTTTTGGTACAAGACGTAACCGTTAATATGGCCTAAGCATCTTATGTTTCAAGAAAGTTTCTTTTTTCATTTTATTTAATGTCTTGAGGAACAAAATTACTTCAACGTAAAGTTTTCTTTTCTTTTATTCGCTTCCTTAGGTTAAACATTTTTCTTTTGATTCAGCTAGAAAGTTTCAAGAAAATTAACGTCTAATTAAAAAATTATTTAATAAAATTATCCTCGCAACTGAACTTTCTACAGTTCACATCAAATGAGTTTTTTGGTTTCCTTTTTTTCATACAATTTTGAATACTTTACCAGTAAGCTATAAAGCTATTCAATGTTTTCAAAAGGTTTTTCATAAAGCTTTTCTTTTGTTTAATGTTTTCTTTTTGTTTTAAACTAAATAGATAGACAAATTTTGGTCATTTAGTAATCTTTTTTCCTTTACTCGAGACAATTTTTGTTTTCTTTCTCGTGTTCACCCTTAAGGTAGCTTTACATTTTTTCATTGTTGTGATATTAAGTAAGAAAAATTAAGAACGTTTAACAAGAGCTTGTAGAAAAATATAGAGGAATTTATGCTACCTAATTACATCACTTAGGCATCATAGATCTACCTTGGGATTACTCGTCATAGTAACTGAATTTTAGCATATTTTTAATATCTTTCCACTTAATGTTTGCTGTCACAAATTATTTTCTTTTATGAGTTTTAACTCGAATCATGTACACAGAAAGAAATAAATAAGACATATGTAGTAGCCTAAAGCGTAGCGACGATACATTACGATAGGATTAGAAATTAGAAATTTTAAAATGCAAAAATAGTATTTTTCATATATTTTCTTTATTTTTTATTATCTACTAGTATGTTGAAAGAAATTTTAATCAAATTCGAGTTCGTTTCTTTTTCTGACATAAAGCTTAGGAAAAAGTTCCTTACATTCGTTATTTTTTTCTTTTTCACCAAAGTTTTCTTCTTTTGTATGTTAATGTATCATACATTGATCTGGTTTTCTTTTGAATATATTTCAACTTTAATAAGGCATTAAAGAACCAGAAAGGTTTCTTCTTCATGTTATACTTTCTTCTGTTCCATTCGTGAACGTGATTCAATTTATTTATTTATTAAATTTCATGTTCATTGTTCATTCGTCTATGTAAGTTTCAGTTCAAAAAGAGATTTCTTTAAAGGAAATTTTCTTAGAAAGTCTTCTGTTATCAATCATGTTCAACACATTTATAGATCCATAATTATTCAAGTCAATTGACTCTTGTTTTGAAAAACTTTTTTCTGTAAGAGCCGGCAATTTTAGGCCATTTATACTAAGTGGATAACTTATCCCTCTTCTTTCAAGTGTTCTACCGTAAACATCGGCGAACGACAAAAAATTAAAAAAAAAAGTAAATGAAAAATTGACTACAATTTGTAAGCATAAATTTTCATTTCTTCATAAACATCCAAACATCCAATGATGATAATAATTTTGTGTAGGTAGATAAATTTTTTTTGTTTTGTTTTGTTTTAGAAAAATGAAAGAAAAATTCCAATCTAACCGATTATCATGGCGAATAAAAAATGATTAACAATCGGTTATTTAGCAGCTTACGCTATGTGAGCATCTTGAAAAACATAATTGCCAGTGCTATGTTGACTATCAGAACCAACAATATGAGTTGTTGGCGTGAAAACCAGTCCTAAACAAGAGAAAAAATATCGAGAGAGACAAAAGAAAATTTCATTAAATAATTTGATAATTTGTTAAAGATTTTTACAGCTGCAAGAAGTCATTTGGCATTCCATAAAACTTCAGCCTATGTTTATCTTTACGTTAATTTTTTTCAGCGTACACATTAAATTTTCTAACATTAAAAAATCATGCAAAAGATATTATAAGAGTATCCATTTTATTTTTATGCTTAAAGGAAAGAACTGAAGCTTATCCAATCATAAGTTTGTTTTGGAAATAATAACAAATAAATTTTATATATGATTTTAAAGAACAGCAGAGACTGCTGCAGGAAAGAATAAACTGTCAATAAACTGAGGAAACGTAGAATTTGATTATAAATAATGCATATTCTCAATTATTTATCAAAAACTTAAACTACAACATGAAAGCTTCTAAAGCATTTTGGCTTTGGAAACAAAAAAAACGTACCTATATGTCTCTCTTTATTAATTTGATTTGGTTAGCAGGTTGATTAGTTTCGAAAATTATGTGCATAATGAAAAATGTAGCAAAATTACATATCAATGATAGAGGAAACATAACAAAAATCTTTTTATTTTTCTTAGACTAATATTTTGTTAATAACACCAAGGAAGATTTCATGCAATCATTTCAACTTTTAAGTATGAAAATCTTCCAAGTTGTTATCATAGCATAGCTTAGATAATGTTTTTTAGTGCAAGATTCAAAAGAAGATGAACAAAAATTCGATCTAATTTGGCATTAAATTGCAATCGAAAATCAAACGATCAAAAAAGATAGCAAAAAGAAATCTAATTGAGTTTCAATGCAATTTTTTCTTTTGGTTCTCGCTTCAGTCATGAACGAAACTTTCTCAAAAATCAAAATTCATGCCGAATACTAAGTAGGTATTGAAGGTTTCAAATAAGTTTTGAATGATTGATTTAGATGTTTAGACAGGGAAATGTATTAAAAAAAGGAGAAAACAAGGGTTCAACTAAAAGCTAAATTTATTTATTGATAACGTCAGATCAGGTTGTTGTAAATAAATAAAGTTATTTAATAAAAAAAAATTATTCTATACAGTTTATTGATCTTACCTTAACTTGTGGACTGACAAGATAGAGCAGTGGATTTGCTTTGTATCTTTCTGATTCATCCTTCTGTCTTCTGACCTCTTCACGTCGTGCTGATCCTAATACCGACACTTCTTCTCGACTCATCATGTTATTAATTGGCATCTGCTGAACATCGGGCAATGACTTTTTACGTTGAAGTGTTACGTTGATTGGCGTGTTCTAGAAGAGAACGTTAAGCATTAAAATCTCTTTTTTTTCTTTAAGAATCAGAAGATTTATTAGTTTTGAAGAATCGACTTTAGAAAGAAAAAAGAAAAAATTGATGAACCTCAATTGGAGCCGTGTCAATCCAACTCTCAGACGCTCTTCGCGCAAGTAGAGCTGGTGAAAACATGAGGTCGGCTTCTTCTTCCTCTTCATCTTGATACCAATGCATCCTTAAAGGAATTAATCACAGTTCATTAGAAAAATAATTAAATAAGTGACATAAATATTTTCTCAGTTTGAGAAATTTTTATTCACATTTTTCTGAGTTCTTCCGATGAAACTTCTTATTTGAAATTGTTTCCTATGATCAACACTTGTTCATAACGCTCTTCGACGAGAAGCAAAAATTTCCACGTAAAATGATTTAGAATTCCGAAAGAAACTCTTGCACACTGTCAAAGGCACTCGATGTGGTGTGCCTGGGTGTTGTGTGTTCGTTCCTCACTTGGCACAATAACAAGTGAAACTGATGAATGGGAAATAGGAATTCTCTCGAAATGTAAGTTAAAAACTCGCCGAGTTTTTAAATAAAAAAAGAATTAAGCAATTTACTGCAACTTTGATAAATAATTTCCCATTAAATTCTTGAGAAACTCCCTAAACTTCTTTTTATTTTGTTTGTTATTTCTGATAAGATTAATTAATCTGTTGATAGATGAAGAAAAATTATCGAAAATATTTATTTTCCTTATTTTTCTCATTCACTTTAACTTTATCTCTATTTATTTCACGTTCAACATTCGGACGATACTGAATTAAGAAAATTATTTTTCTCTCTTGCAAGCGAAATCACATCGACTGTGAAACATTTAGCTAAGTATGAATACCAACAAAGAGAATAAAATTTTTCGTAAATATCTAATAATAAACTGAAGCCATAGCTAAAGCAACGAACTCAAACGAGAGTCGAGAAATGTATCATGACAGTAACCACGACAACATCTTTCTATCACAACTATCATCACCAGTTTATGTTGGAAGTTCAGGTCACGAATGTGTTTGTTGAGTGAAGCTATTCGTGATTATTTTTAGCCAACCAAACGACTCTTGACTGTGTTCACTTCAAATTTCTTTTTTCTTTCATCGTCATTATAAATTTATTTAAGTATTTATGTATCGTACGTACCTTGCTTGCTCCTTTAGAACCACCACCACTACCTCCACCACTGCCTCCACCACCGCTAGCCATAGGCTTATTAGGAACAAAGAGACTCTCGGTACGTTTAGGCTGACCTGGTGAAGGAATAATGTCTTGTCCTAACGTTCTTTGTCTTAGAAGAACGTCTTCAAAGGGTTGATTTGGATTTGAATATTGGGCTTGGATTGTTTGAATAGAAGGTTGTAATTGTTGTTGAAAGACTGGAGTTCCACTTCGTGATCCACGACGTGATGGAGCACCACTGCCACCACCCATGACACCTGTAAGAACTTGTCCATTAACATTCGGTGTCGGTGTTGTTCCCCTCAATTGAGAACCAGCACGAACACTTCGATCAATTAATGTATCAGGATTCATGGGCTGTCCACTTAAAGCTTGACGATCCACTGATGGTTGTCTTGATCCACCACCTAATCTACTAGCAGCCCTTGAATATCGATCAACCGACGAATCACGACTTGGTGGTCTCTTATAATGATCAAAATGATCAATCGATGTTTGATGAATCGCACCTAACATTGGCCTTCCACTATCTGAAACTTGCCTTGAATTTCTGCGCAAATTGGTTGCTTGCAATTCATTTCCACCATAATTTGATGCTTGCTGATCATTGTAATTTTGCTGATAACTTTGTCCACTTTGTTGCGAATAATTAGCGGCAGAATTGATATTCTCTTGTAGATGACTACTGCTGTTCATCGGCTGATATTGATTGTTGTCTCTATTCTGATAAATTTGATTATGTTGCGATTGCTGTACAGAAACATTTGGCTGTTGATTGTAATTATTGATGTTGGCAACATTATTTGTTTGTTGTGCAAACTTTTGCGGTGTGTTAAATGCTGAAGAAGCTCCCGGCGGTTGAGTCTGTGCAAATTGTTGATTATGTCCTATTGTGCTGTTATATTCTAATGAGTTTGAAGTCGCATTTGTATAATTTGTGTTATTTTGTGACATATAATCTATCGATGACTGTCGCATCATTGGATTTACTGATGTCCTTCGTGACGGTGGTTGTGGATTTAAAATATGTTGTTGCTGCTGTTGTTGTTGTTGCTGAGGTGCTTGTAATTGTTGCTGTTGTTGTTGTTGAAGAGACTGCTGATTTGAATTCATTTTATTTGGACTAATTATGTTACTTGTCGCTCCCAATTGATTCGGAGAAATTTGATTTTCGTGTTTTAACTTGTTTCCCGATGAATCGTCGTTTAATGTATTTCGAAATCTTTCACGAACTCGAAGTCTTTCAAACCGTTCTAGCAGTGACGGTTTAAAGTCAGGTGCAAATTCACGTGCAGTTTGAATTGCAACATCAGAATCGACTTTCGCATGATCCGCTGATACATCAGCTAATTCTGCTTTACCTCGAGCTGTTGCCGTTCGTGATATCGCAATATCTGCCTTTTGTAAAGCATATTTACTCGCTCTTTGTGCTGAGTCAACAGCAGCATCAATTCGTTCACGAAATTTCGCTGATCTGATAAGGAATAAATGTTTCTTCTTCTGACTTGTGATGAGAACATTGTTTTTGTATTTTCCTTCTTCTTTCGTTCCATCGCGGAACGTCGTCACACCGTAGCCATACTTCTTGTTTGCAAACCATTCACCTTCATATCTAAAACAATGAAATCATTCATTATTAACATTCTTCGAACAATGCTGCTAGCAGTCTTTTTATATATTAGATGACTAGCAATTGTTATAGGTAATCATCTAACATTTTATGTGGTCAAGCAACATAACTTTTCAACTAAGCAACATTTATCTATTTATTCTAGTAAATATTCTTACTTCAAGCCATCGCTTCTCTCTGAAATTCCATATCCACATCGTTTATCATTCTTCCATTCGCCCATATAAGTTTCTGTTACGCTTCCATCCAACTGCTCGTCTTCAACGATAAAGCTTGCATTTGAATCTGTGTGCACTGACCTAAGGGTGAAAGATTATGTAAAATTGATAATAAAAAAACTTTATTATGTGTGCATACTACTTACTTATTAGTTATGCCTGACTGTGATGATTCTGTGCTAATCCAAGATGCAGTTGAAGCCGTTGAACGTATGCTACCGGAACCAGTTCCGCGCTTTTCTAAATCACCAGTGCTTCTTTGCTTGCGAATCTTTAAGCCTGACAACAAGCCTTTCTTAGTTTTTTCAACCAAACTATTTCGTCGAGCTGGCGGCTCATCAGATTTCGCTTTTAACACGAAGCCACCACGAGAATCATCAATTCGATGGTTTCGTTTCTCAGCAGGATCTGGCGTGGGTGCTTGATTGTTGTTCCCGTCATTACTTCGCAATGATGTCAATGAAGCTCTGATTGATTTGGGTCGAAATCTTGATGCCAAACCGAATGGAGCTGACTGTCGGACGCCATAACCATGTCGCATACCCCGAAGCCATTGCCCTTGATAAGTCCCTAACAGAATTAAAAGAAAGATGAGATTCAAATGAAATGAAACTCGATTTGTAACTTGTGTCACTCTTAAAAACGATAAAAAAAAACTTTTTTTGTCTAGACAAATGACAGCACAGAGCAAAATTAAAATTAGATTTAAAGTGCTTTTAATGATTTTGTTTTTTTCTTTCTCTTCGATAAATATTTAGGATGAAATCTTTACCTCCATCAGCATAAGTTTCAGAGCCATAGCCGTCTTGTAAGCCATTAGCCCAAGTGCCTTCATATTTCGCTGTTGATGTTGCACTTTGCCTCACACCATATCGTCCTTTAAAGCCTTGTGTCCATTCCCCACGATAAATCCATCGGCCTCGTGTTTCAATCCCTAAACCGTGTCGTTTTCCATTCTGCCACTGACCCTCGAAGGATGATCCACTGAAAAAGCATAAATAAAAATATATTTATATATTTTATTACATCAAACCTCCAGGGGATGTAATTCTTCTTCGATCGTTTATACTTTCATTCAATTACATTAAAAGCTCTCAATATCAAGATTGTTTATTAGTTTCAATTAATATTATCAAAATTTTCCATGAAAATATTTGGAAACTTATTAAAGTTGTAATATTTCACTGCTTGCAACATCGATATTAAATTTATCACAAATGTTTCATGTTTATTTTTATTATTTTCCACTTAAAGCATGAATGAATTTTTTATTTTTCCTTATTTCTTCAACTTTTTTTTCTTCATAAAATGCCACTCATCCCGCGATTTTCTTTTATCATTTAAAAGATATTAATGCGTATTTATATTTTCTTTTCTTCATCTCTATTTTCATAGGAAAAAGAGAGAGGAAAGGGGGAAAAGAGAAAAGCATCGTCATATAAAGTTAGGTGATCTAAAAATAGTATCGTGTCATGGTTTTTTTTATTAAACCCATGTTCCTCTAATGTACGCGAGGAGAAAAATCTGTAGGAATGTGTATTAAATAAGACAATCGAGAGTGGTTTTCATGTCTCTGTATGTAGCAATAATGTGAATAATTCGTTTGAAAATATTTCTTTTCAAATCAGAGATGTTCCTATAAGAACACAATGTGGAGGCGAACGAAATGAAAGGAAAAAATAAAAACAGTTCTTTGTGTCGTGGAAAAACATATGCAAAAACGAAAATTATTTGTATTTCACATTTTCCAAGAATTAATGAATGAATGAGGGAAAACTGTTTTCTTCTCTTCTTTTCTTATTTTTTTTGCTACGTCAGCGCGAGAATCTGAAAGCGATTCACGATGAATCAATTGTTTGGAATTTTAAACGTAAACCTATCTGTTTGATGTGGAACGAAGCTGAAGTGTAATGTTTTCCAGAGATGAAAGGCAAAAATTAATGTTTGCGTTGTAAGCAGGCAAGCAGACTAGAGAGGTGAAGAATCTTTGAATGTTTCTTCTTCTCTTTTTCTTTCAAGTCAATTGATGAAATTTTGGCATTTGTTATGATGAATCTTATCTTCTTCATATGAAAATTTGACTGAACATCATAATATATGAAATATAAATGTGAAAGTGTATTCAGAGAATTTAATATCTGAAAAATTCGTACATAAATCGTTTTCGTGAGTGCTTGGAAACTAGGACAAAGACTCTCATTTCAAAAAAGATGCATTACTTATTTTACTTTTATAATTTGAAGTTTTCTTTAGAAAACTTTGAGAATACCTTGGGACTTTAATGATAATAATTAAAATGTCATTTAAATGGGGTGCTTTAAGACCAAACGGTGAAAAGTTGGAAATTAAAAGACTTTGAAAGAAAGATTAAAAAAAAGCGAACTCACCTAGGCCATGTATAAACACCTGACACTTCAAATCCATAGTGCCAAGCACCGGAATACGCTCCTTGATTTTTAGGGCCCGTACAAACTCCATGTCCATGTGCTTTACTGTCTTCCCAACCACCGCAAAATGTTCCACCATCCTCAAAGTCAAATCGACCACCACTTATTTGTGTTCGTTGTTGAGTACCGGCTTGTTGCGGTTGCGATGGTAACGGGTCTTGCATTATATTATTTTATATCAAATTTATTTTTATTTGTTTTAGTTTCAATATTTGGATACTTCGTTTGTTGTTGCTTCACTCACGAACCACTGATTCATTAGATTAGAACAAAATTTATGATGATTTTTCTTTATCACCCTTGTTCTTATAGAACGTCGTTCGTCGATATCTTTTCAAGTCACATCATATTATTTAATTTGCATTTATATTTCTCCATTTTGTGATTCCTTCAATTTTCCCACAATTTATAAACAGATCAGTTAATTTTTATTTAAGTTCACCTTCTGACAATGTCTCATTTTTTTCATGCTAATCAATATAAGTTGAACTAAAGTTGAGAAAAGAGAAAGAAAAGAAGAAAAATTTCGAGATTGAATGAAAAATCTGAATTTATTTTCATTGATTCTTAGTCTTGAACGTTGGAAGGAAGTAAAACAGAACTGAATTTAAGCTGCTAAACACGTTAAATATTTTTAATTTGCAAAAATATTCATGATGAAAAGAAAAGAGATGGAAAAAAAATTAAACTGTTTTTTTTTCTCTTTAGTATAATTTTTTGATAAAAATAGATCTACGCCACTCTGCTGTTTTACAATTGAGCAGAGCCTTAGCTTCTGTTGGTTTCCGTGAAACCAAGAATCTTTACTACAGCTAAAAGAAAAGAAAAATGCGAATAGTTTTTTATTTCAAACATAGGGTAAAGTGACATAAAGTGGTTACAAAAAAAAAAGAGGACCTATTGTGGTAACACCTAATTTCGAATGCGATTTTCTTCGCTATTTTACATTTTTATGGCTCAAAACTTTTTACAGAAGTGCTTTGAACTATCTACTCTACTTCTGTACAAAGTTTTGAGCCATAAAAATGTAAAATAGCGAAGAAAATCGCATTCGAAATTAGGTGTTACCACAATAGGTCCTCTTTTTTTTTTGTAACCACTTTATGTCACTTTACCCTATTTTCTCGCATTTGTTTATATTCAGAAACGTATGCAGTCGTTGATAAACGTAAACATTTGGGCTTCGTGCTATGGACAAATTTACTTCATAAATCTTCAGCAGTACCTACAAAATTGACTCATGAAATGAACTCAATTCCCCGTTTCGTGCTACTGAATACTATTTACTAGTCGTTTCACTTATTTAAAAAGCTTTGTTACTTTTAATCATTTACCCATGAGAGCTTTGCTTATCTTTCAAACATTTTATTTGCATACAAATATGCATATTTTTAATTCAACAGTTAAAGTTCAACTTAGTTTCTGATTACACTTTTCATTGTATACGAATCACATGAAAGACTCAGCATTGAGTTCCTTCCATTGTGAATTAGAATAATGAAAGATTAATGTGATAAAAATTTTAGTAATTATTCCAGAAATTAATCGAGAATTTTAATCAAAACTCAATTAATACAATTGAAAAGTTATGTTTAACATATTTCCCTTTTAATTATGAATGTAATTTTTGTGAATTTATTTCAGTTGATATAAAAGCAAATTAAAAGTCACAATATCCATTTGTGGCATTTTAACTAAGGTCATGGAATTAAAAGGAAAAACTTTTTCTTTCACGGATGATTTCCGTTTCCAAATCAATTTTTATCACTTGTTCGCTCGCTTTTATGACTTTTCATGGAAAGGACTTTTACTTATTTACCCCTAACGTGACATGTTTCAATTCGCGAATTACACGATGTATTATATAAATAAAATATCAGGCACGGCTAAAGAGATATCTTTATTTATTTCTGGTATCGTCTTTGTATGCAAAAAGAAGTCCGAGAAAAACTCAGATTTTCTATTTAATTTCATCAACGAGCTGAATAAGAAGAAGAGAAGGAAGAAGAAGAAGAATAGACGAATTTTCCTCTTCGAGTGTATGAGTTTGGGATGAGGGGTAAGGAGAATAAAAAATCCCAAAAGTCAGTAAAATCATCATCTGTGATCTTTTTTTTTTTGCTTTTTTTTGCTTATCCACTCATCTGGCCCATTCTCATCAGCACTCTGATAAAAATACTTGACTGTATTCAGCTACTTAGTTATATTTATTAACAGGTATATTATTTTCGTCAATTTCCATTTTCATCTTCTCCTTGTTTTTCACTTCAACTTAATTAATGAATTTTAAATTGAAGATGAAGGTTGAACTTGTGCACTAATTTTTTTCCTTACTTAGTACAATTTTACAAATCTGTAAACTGTGGAAATGTATTAATTTTCGAAATTATTCCCATCATCATCACACACAAGCTTTTTCTCCACTTCAGTTTCTTCTTTCGACATTAATTACTTAATTAAATATGCTTCCGAAAGTTATGCTTCAATATTTTCTTTCTTTCTTTTAAAAAATGTTCATTTTCCCTTCGGATTCTATTATGATGAAAATCACTGTTTTGTTCGTTCGCTAGGTCGTTAAATTCGATTATAACTAAATAGAATCTGAACAAGCGAACACTCTGGCCTCTGTTTCGTCCGTAAAGTCACAAATATGTGTTGACATATACAAACGAGAAAAACTTTCCGCTTCGACAATTGTATGAGTTTTTCTTTTTTTCCTTCTTTTTTTTCTTTTTTTCTAGACAAGTGACTAAATTTAAATAGAAAATTCGTTTGACGAATGCTTAATCTGCGCGATAATCCTCATCATCAAAACCACCACGATGTAAACTGTAAAGATGAATTTTTTTTCTTTCTCTCTATTACTACCTTTCCCTTTGCCTTGATGCGATATTTGATGACAAATGAAATAAAAATTAAAACTTATGATGATGAAAGCAAATTAAATTATACAAGTGAGAAAATCTTAAAGATATTCGGCGCGACACTCTGAATATTCTGTAAGGAATTTGTGTTAAAACGCAAGGGGATAACATTGTTTGATCGAAGCTGTGTGCGAGGAGAAAAAGCTAAATGATCAAAATGACGAGAGCGACAACGATGAATTTTCTTAACACAGATGTGAGGAAAATATTTAATTTTAGTACGATAATTTTTTTCTTATGTATTGTTCTCTACACTTTATAAAATCCACATGAATGATTTGAAAAATTATCTACTCTCAATTTTGATTAAAATTACTAATTTTTTCTAGAAAAATAGTTTCTTTTTCACTAGAATGTTAATATGTTAGCACCAGAAAATATTTAATTCTTCATTACTTTTCTTCTTACCACCACTTTCATTTCAATTCATAATTTTCTTTTGAGTTCACACGCTTCAAGCCCAAATGTACATTTTTCTTTAAGCAACAGTAGAAACGAAGGAAAAAAAGCGAAAAATTTAAGCTTGGAGAGGTGAGAAAGAAAAATCATAAAGTACAGTTAAACTTCGATAAGCTGCTACTTC